CGAGAGAGAAAGAAAATCGCATGGCGTTCCCCCGCGACCCTCTGAGAGTGGTTGCACCATACTCTTACTCGCCTGGGTGTGCGAGAGAGACAGAAAACAGCCAGGCAGCTGGCCTAAGTGTGCGAGAGAGATAGAAAAGAGCCTAGCGTCTCGCGTACAAGTGCGAGAGAGAAAGAAAATCGCCAGGCGGGACTTGCGTTGTTTTTCCGGCAAAGCAGGCGTATGGCGTTCCCCCGCGACCCTTTGAAAGCGGTTGCACCCTACCCTCACTCGCTTGGGTGTGCGAGAGAGATAGAAAACAGCCAGGCAGCTCGCCTAAGTGTGCGAGAGAGATAGAAAATAGCCAAGCGTCTCGCGTACAAGTGCGAGAGAGAAAGAAAATCGCATGGCGTTCCCCCGCGACCCTCTGAGAGTGGTTGCACCCTACCCTTACTCGCCTGGGTGTGCGAGAGAGACAGAAAACAGCCAGGGAGCTCGCCTAAGTGTGCGAGAGAGATAGAAAATAGCCAAGCGTCTCGCGTATAAGTGCGAGACAGAAAGGAAATCGCCAGGCGGGACTTGCGTTGTTTTTCCGGCAAAGCAGGCGCATGGCGTTCCCCCGCGACCCTCTGAGAGCGGTTGCACCCTACCCTCACTCGCCTGAGTGTGCGAGAGAGACAGAAAACAGCCAGGCAGCTCGCTTAAGTGTGCGAGAGAGATAGAAAATAGCCAAGCGTCTCGCGTACAAGTGCGAGAGAGAAAGAAAATCGCATGGCGTTCCCCCGCGACCCTCTGAGAGTGGTTGCACCCTACCATCACTCGCCTGGGCGTGCGAGAGAGACAGAAAACAGCCAGGCAGCTCGCCTAAGTGTGCGAGAGAGATAGAAAATAGACAAGCGTCTCGCGTACAAGTGCGAGAGAGAAAGAAAATCGCATGGCGTTCCCCCGCGACCCTCTGAGAGTGGTTGCACCCTACCCTTACTCGCCTGGGTGTGCGAGAGAGACAGAAAACAGCCAGGCAGCTTGTCTAATTGTGTGAGAGTGATAGAAAATAGCCAAGCGTCTCGCGTATAAGTGCGAGAGAGAAAGAAAATCGCCAGGCGGGACTTGCGTTGTTTTTCCGGCAAAGCAGGCGCATGGCGTTCCCCCGCGACCCTCTGAGAGTGGTTGCACCCTACCCTCACTCGCCTGGGTGTGCGAGAGAGACAGAAAACAGCCAGGCAGCTCGCCTAAGTGTGCGAGAGAGATAGAAAATAGCCAAGCGTCTCGCGTAGAAGTGCGAGAGAGAAAGAAAATCGCCCGCGGGACTTGCGTTGTTTTTCCGGCAAAGCAGGCGCATGGCGTTCCCCCGCGACCCTCTGAGAGCGGTTGCAACCTACCCTCACTCGCCTGGGTGTGTGAGAGAGACCAAAAACAGCCAGGCAGCTCGCCTAAGTGTGCGAGAGAGATAGAAAATAGCCAAGCGTCTCGCGTACAAGTGCGAGAGAGAAGGAAAATCGCATGGCGTTCCCCCGCGACCCTCTGAGAGTTGTTGCACCCTACCCTTACTCGCCTGGGTGTGCGAGAGAGACAGAAAACAGCCAGGCAGCTCGCCTAAGTGTGCGAGAGAGATAGAAAATAGCCAAGCGTCTCGCGTGTAAGTGCGAGAGAGAAAGAAAATCGCCTGGCGGGACTTGCGTATTTTTTCCGGCAAAGCAGGCGCATGGTGTTCCCCCGCGACCCTCTGAGAGCGGTTGCACCCTACCCTCACTCGCCTGGGTGTGTGAGAGAGACAGAAAACAGCTAGGCAGCTCGCCTAAGTGTGCGAGAGAGATATGAATTAAAAAATAATTTGTTTTGAAATGGAGGTGGTGGGGAACAGGTATTTTCAATGATTTTTCACCTTTTTATGCTTTTTCACAAATGTCTTGATGAAATCTGTAAAGTTTCAGAAAGTGATGATATTTCATGAAATTCTACATCAAAATTTCATTTTAGAATCTTTCGTGAGATTTTGCAACTCTGTGTGTGAAATGCTTTGAGGTTAGGTTTAGGTCCCATCCTTAATCTGGCAATCCGCCTCAGCCGTCAGCCGCAACGCGAAGGAAAGGCAAGTAGTACTTAGCTGGTTCTAATTCCCTCTTGTAACCTGATCCATTGTAAGTTATCGCAGTATCAGTATGTAAGTTGCCATCATTTCCCCTGAATTCACTCGTGAAAAGCTAAGTAAGTACTTTCATTTCTTCCGGCGTATTAACACCAGCGTTTCCCGGCCGTCTCGGCTCTCTGCAACCAATTTTGTCAGTCAAATTTTTATCCTTCTCATTGCTCAATAAATCATCTTTAGACACCAGTGGAAGCTTCTCATCAGTGCTGTCTGTCAAGTCAACTTCGTGATGTCTTCAGCCTAAGTTAGTGGGTGTCATATGCTTGCCTTCATCTTGCGCTGACCCATCAAAACGTCGTCATGAAAGTAAGTAACTTTATTTTGATACGTTGTCTTCATTCGCAAAGCACTGTGACATTTTGTGGTGTACACATTATGAGTGACTGCCTATACATGTCTGACCAAAGATGTAAACAGATCAAACTATCAGTATGTCACTAACTCACTATTGCATGGTGGCGATGAAACTGCGGAATCAGGTTTCAGGGTATGCCACATTTCCTGACTTTGCACTGTCACTGTCAGATTGGTGTAATACTTTGTTTTCTATTTCGCGGGGAAATATTCAATGTCGTTTCTGAAAATCTTTCTAAATATTTCTTGTCAGTGTGAAAATTTCAAGCAGCACTGTTCTTTGTTTTCATTATTCGATGTTGTCAATAGGGTTCGCCGATTTTGAAACATTATGAAGGTTAGCAAGTTTGCAGTTTTACCCAAAGACATAAAGACGGAGCGCTAAAAGCAAAAAATGAAGCTTCTTTTCAATCACCTCTACTATTGGCTATAGGATTGGCGGCGAAATCGGGACAAGTTTGAAATTCAAATGTAGGGCGGGAACTAAATAAAATTGCGGAAACAAAGTATTTTAGGTTGATTTTTGCCGAAATTCACTTACACACTCATATCCAAGGATATCATATCCTCAAGGATGAGGGAAGTTGATTATGTATTTTTATTGTATTGTGTAAATTGAAGAATTAATAAATTGAATTGAATTGAATTGAATTGATATTTGTATAACTTTAGGTTAGTTTTGGTCCGTCGTTGACCGATTAATTTCTTTTGGGAGTAACTGTCATCTACGACTGTAACGACCTGTTTGAACCGGCAGAACCACCATGAGCAGAAGAAAAACTAACTTTATCTGATATTACTGCCTGTTACCGAGCAAAAGTAGGTGTATTGTAATAGGACGCAGTCCCAACTTTCTTAATATATTCGTTTTAGGCATTTAAAATATGTTTCGAAGAAGAAATGTGGAAAAATCAAGAGGACAAGTTCAAATCAAATTTCCGTTTGCCGCCATGGATTCCCGCGCTCATTTACACACTCACACAAGCACCCAGCGCCAAACCAGGCTTCACTTTTTCCCCGTGCTTTTAGATGCGAGCACTCCGTCTTTATGTCTTAGGTTTTACCATGAAGAATCTCCGCCAGTTTTTGTTGGAGTGTCATTGGGCTGTACTATGCAGAAAGAAACTAAGTCACGCCCGTGCCTGTTAAATTTCATCGGATGATTTTTTTGCTGGAGAGTGGTCGTGAAGATTCCTATGGAAATTTAAGGGATTTCTCCTGTGATGTGAAGTAAATTCCCTGAAATTTTCAAAAGAATCTGCACAACTGTTCCGTTCGGCACTGATTATAATCTACTTTTCTCAAAAACTTGAGTTTTGGAGCTGTTGCAGTTGAATTTTTTGTAAATTTCCTGTTTTATCATTTTCATGCCACAATAAACTGTTCTCAAGATTCAAGATTTCAAGATTAATTTATTTCAAAAATTTAAATTTACAAAAGTTAAACAAAACAGCTCCATATGCCAAAAGTGAGCTTGTGTGGCATATGTTACTAAACCAAATAAGATAACCAACAAGAAAATAACTAGACAATTCTAACTACTTATTGAAGACATTGGATAGCGGAAGCGGCCGGATCTAGAGGTATTTTCAGTTAAGTTGGCAATTGTTTTTTTTTATTTTCAGTAGACTGATTTTTGTCTCTGCACACAATGGCAGTGTTGCTCGCGATAGGGCCACTGTAATTCGCGATCGCTATTGATCGACTGCATTGCGGTTGCTTGCAACTGAGAAGTTAACAACTGGCAACTTAGCTGATAACACCTCTTAGTTAATGGACCACTAGACAAGGTACGAATTTAAGCAATCTGATACATTTGTCTCAACCAAAATTTCACGTAGAACACAATATGCACGACAAAAATTACTGAAACCAACTCCTAACGAAGATATCAACGTTTTTACTTCACAATGGTTACGAGGAATTTGAACTGCCCGCTCACAAGAAACTCAAAGCTCTACAAGAGTCAAATTGCGCACTACAACGGTTTCAGCAAGTTTCTCAAACGAGCAATGTTCATTTCCCACTGTGTGTTTTTCAAATTATAAGCAATTTGCTATATCTGAGCCAAAGCGTCAAGATTGAGGTTGCCAGATTTTTACATCGCAGAGACTGTCATGATAACGTTTAGGGCACGATATGAATCACATAGAGCATTGAGTTATCCTAAGCAAGTGGTTTAAATTCACGCATCAAGAATCATAAATTATCTTTGTAAGGAGTTGATTTTGGTAATTTTCGTCATGCGCATCGTGTTTTGCGTGAAATTTTGGTCCAGAAACATGTATCAGAATGCTGCAACTTGCACATTGTCTAGTGGTCCATTCCACCTATTTTTGTAGTCAGATCTCGGAGCATTCAAGAATAATTTTGACCCTTACGTACTTTCTGTAATTGCAGAGATCAGGCACTTTCAATCAACAGGGAGGCAACAATGCCCGTTCTCAGCAGGTGCAGCATCTGTCGATGAGACCGTCCTCGAATTCATCATCAGGGGGCAAACGGGGCTCTGGTGGAGAGTCAAGATCATCTCAATCGCAGACCAAAGGGTATGTTTAGTAACCGCAATATTTTGTATAGTTAAGTCCAACCAGCATTGAGCACAACAAACATTTATCATTGATGTGTAGAGATGAAGTCACACTCTGAGAAAGCTTTGCCAGGTCTGAATTTTCCTTTACCTTTTACCTTTTTACCTTTATTTTTGGTAGAGAAATTTCTCAAAGACGAAATGATGTAGATGGATGCAAATCAGGTATTACTCAGGGGTTGATAATCTTCTAGATTGCGCAATCCAAGATCGCATGAGAACTTAGCAAACCTGCCAAATCTTGGAAAGCCAGACGAAAAAAAAAAATGTCATCATATTTCAAGATCTTGGAATCTAAGAAGATTTTTTTTAATGAAAAACAAGACCTCTCAATTCTTTTGTATCTCCAAAAAATCTATAAATAGCGAAAGTCAATCGAGATTATTTGTTTTTTGACCCAGTTAGTAATGAAGTCAGAAAACAGAAAATATTCTCAAATTTTACCATTTCGCAAAGATACCAGGCCCTGTAGGGTAAGATTTTTCTTTGAATCTGATATGGAAAGTTTCATTATTAGTAATTATTGCACGAAAATTTTAATTTATTTGGAGCATTTTGGTTGTTAGCACTATTACTGAATTAATCATCAGTCTCAGAAAAATTTGAAATTTGTCAAAGCAGTTAAAAATAACTTTAATTTATTAAATGCACAAACTGAACTAGATTTGGCAACAAACCAACTTCATGAAAGATGTACTGAAATCTGTGTTTCATCCTAAAAACTTCCTATCTTTGTTTACATACTTAGTAGATAAAGTGTCCACCAAAGTTTTTATTGTTCGTGAATCATAAAATGTATTTATCAAGTTTTTTGACTGTAATGAGGTTCTGCCAATGGCAACTGTGCTGAAAAGATTTTACCAAAAGTAAACCAGGTTTTTTTGTAAGTCAAGCTTACTCTTTTATTCAGCACTTTGGCTACCTCCTTACATTACAAAATTTCATCATTGTTTCATGACAATGCTTTCAGGAAATCTAAAGCTTGTTTGAGATTTCACGGTGAAATTTGAACCATATAGAGCCATGCGGCCTTTTTCCAATGGATCAACAATTGTTACAGCCAAAGTGCCGATGATAATCATAGAAATGGAAAATATGCCAAACACCACCAAGGTTTTTTCCTCTTAACCCAAAGGAAAGTTCAATGAGTTATTTTGAAGGAACTAGAGGAAGAAGGATCAGTTTAGTCATACTATTTCTGTATACTTAGGTTGTTGGCGGCAGTGAGCATAAAGGAAGCTCAACCTTTCGAAAAAATATCAAACTTTCAGCTTTCACCCACGAGTTTAAATTCACTTTTCATTTATCTTTTTAACATTTTTAACTGATTTTTTCCATTCAATGATGCAACATTCAATATTGCTGGATTAAGGTGATTCGATGGACGCCATATGTCAGAACGGCATGCGATATATCGCATCAACTGGTTCCATTTTTTCAGATACCCGTCATTTTTCTCGAATTTTAAGATCGCAATGGACCACTACACAAGGTACGAATTTAAGCAATCTGATACATGTTTCTGAACCAGAATTTTACGTCGAAAACGATTCACACAACGAAAATTACTGAAACCAACTCCTAACGAAGATATTAACATTTTTATTTCACATAGGTTACAAGGAATTTGAACCGCCCGCTGACAAGAAACTCAAAGCTCTCCGTGAGTCAAATTGCGCACTACAACGGTTTCAGCAAGCTTCTCAACCGAGCAATGTTCATTTCCCGACATGTATTTTTCAAACTATAAGCAATTTGCTGTAGCTGAGCCAAAGCGTCAAGATGAGGGTGCCAGATTTTTATATCGCAGAGACTGTCATGATAACATTTAGCGTGCGATGTGAATCACGTAGAGTATTGAGTTTTCATGAGTGGGTGGTTTGAATTCACACATCAAGAATCATTGAATATCTTCGTTAGGAGTTAATTTCGGTAATTTTTGTTGTGCGCATTGTGTTCTACGTGACATTTACGTTACGAAATATGTATCAGAATGTTGAAATTCGTTCCTTGTCTAGTGGTCCGTTCTGTTGTCGGGAGACTAAAGCACTCACTTACCAATTTTTACAAAGAAATTCAACGTACTTAATAAAGGCGTGGTTTTTTTTAGAGGAAAAATATCGCATTTGAGTGCAGTTTCGATATCAGTATCGAATGCGATATTTTTCCTCTAAAAAAACCATGCCTTTATTACGTTGAATTTCTTTTTAAAAATTGGTAAATGAGTGCTTTAGTCTCTCGACAACAGAATTGCGATCTCTAAATTCGAGAAAAATGATAAGTAGCTGAAAAAAATAGAGCCAATGGATGCGATATATTGCACGTCGTTCTGACACAAAATATGGCATCCATCAAATCACCTTAAATGAGGAAATAAGTATAAAACCAAAGTGATGTAAACTTCTCTAATTTTTTATGAGCATAGCTTTCTCAATTGGGTACTCATCTTGAGAGCTAAAAGTTACATTCCGATTCTCATCGTACGTCAAATGAAATTTTTAAAATAAAATTAGAATAGTAGCAAAACAATACACCATCAACTCAAAACGAGAATAGATAGCAAAATTGCAGAACGTCATTTTTAATGCAGGTGAGCAACTGATTATCTATCCTCTTAAACTCAACTCTTATCTCCCAAGTTTCCTGTTAGAGTACAGCATGTCCTAATCAAGGAGCTGTGCGCTATTTCTATCTCATCAGGTTTCTGTCAATGGAATTCTGTATTTGGATGTATTTTTGTCAAACGGTACTAAGCACCATCGGGGGAGGAAGAGAGAGGGGGGCTTTGGATTGGCTTGGATTGAATGGGGTGTTGCGGAACGCGATGCTCGTTCCGTCCTTTACTTGCAATGCTTATCTATGGTGCTTACTTCCGTTTGACAGAACGCACTATTTGGGATTCTGAAATCCTCCAAAGAAACTCAAATTGGCTTTTAGTTCTGTTTAACAGAAATACGTCCATTTATCTTGCTTAATAACAGTAGACAATTTATTATTATGTTTTGCAGTGTTCTTAATGTGGGTGTATACAGCAGAATTTCTGGTAGTTCTCAATGAGACCTCGAGGTGATAGTAATCAATTACTCTTTTTTTCAGGGACTATTCTCATGGATCCAACTCTGGAGGTCCCTCCTCGTCTAAGAAAAAAAAGAAATTAGCAGACAAAATTTTACCACAAAAAGTGAGAGACTTGGTGCCAGAATCGCAGGCTTATATGGATCTTTTGGCATTCGAGCGAAAGTTAGATTCAACAATAATGCGGAAACGTCTTGACATTCAGGTGAGCGTTTATTTTTTACTGCTGTTATAGATTTTACTTTAAAAAAAATGTCACTTAAGTAGCATTTTGCCTGTTTATTTTCGTCACTGGTCTGCAGAAGTTTGTCTGAAACTGTTAGATAAAACTATCTAGTAATCCTGATCAGGATTTTCAGGAGCTTTTGTGAGAGAGAAACGGGGGGCAGTATTGAAGTTTCTTTGAGGAAAACATGAATGTATTTGGACTACGCTTTGCAAAAAAAAAAGAAACAAAATTGAATTTCTTCAATGAACTAGCCAAAAGGAGGCTAAAAAATGTTTGTAGTGAAATTTTCCAAAGAAGATCTCTATTCTTATGAGTACCATTACAAGCTGTTGAAAGGACCAGACATGGAATACCAAGAAAGGATGTGTCCCATTAAGGAGGATATTTTGGCCCTAACTTTGGTCAAAAATTAAAACAGCTTAGAATAATGTCATGTCTGGTCAAATTGACTCCTAATCACCTACCCTGTGAGAACTTGTCCTCGTTTGAGGTGTTTTTGAAAGGTTTTTGCCTGATTTACCAGCACAAAGTAGTGAAGTTTTGCAGTTCTCTCGAATACTTGCTCATTTTCGGTCCTAAATTAGATTGTTTATGTATGAGCGCAAGGGACTACCCTTTTTCATATTCGAATGTCAATCTTTAGTACACCCATTACAACATATTTAAAGGAGAAAGTGGTTGTCACTTGAGCTCATACGTTAACAATCTAATTCAGGACCGAAAATGAGCAATTATTCGAGAAAACTGCAAAACTTCACTACTTTGCGCTGGTAAATCAGGCAAAAACCTTTCAAAAACACCTCAAACAAGGACAAGTGCGCACAGGGTAGATAATTAAGAGTCGATTTGACCATACATGACATTATTCTAAGCTGTTTTAATTTTTGACCAAAGTTAGGGCCAAAATACCCTCCTTAATGGGTCATGTCCTTTGATGCCGGCTTTTTGTGATTTCTTTATTGATGCTCCTCACGATTATCTGAGTAAGGTAGACTTGAACTTTCTTTGTGCCGATCTCGAGAAAATCTGGTCTAATGAGTGCATTTTTCAGCAATGCAACACAGGTTATTATCCGTAATTATGGCAATGTTGCCAAGTCAAGAATGCGGAACCCTTAGTTTTAAACTGAGTTGACGAGCTGTCTTATTTTCTCTCCGAGTGGCGCAACACAAGGAAGAAAGAGCTCGTCTGTTGATCTTTTTCACTTGATAATGCTTGTAAAACTTCCAAAAAATGCTCTTTTCCCATGCAATTTCTCGAGATTGGCATGTAGAATATTTGATTTTAAAATCTTATCATACTCGGGAGATCACATGGAACATCAAATAAAGTAATCGCGAAATATACCTAGCGCCGAGTTTCTTAGTATTCCTTGCACAATCCTTCCTAGGGATTTTTTTGCAAGATGAAAGGAATCACTCAAACCCTCAGTTTTTCCCATACAGATTGTGTAGATATTTTTTAACCCATCACCTCTTCTTTGGAAGAATTTGAAAGAAGTTTTTAAAATATTTGATTTGTTCTCTCTTCACCAAGGGTATATGTAGAAAAAGCATTTGAGGAGTTGCAAATTTCGTGTCCCGGTAGGGAACTTCTATCGTTTTCCCAGGAGCAATGATGAAGGTTTCTATGACTTATATTAAAGGAATAATAAGGAGAGAGGGTTTCAAAGTTTCTAAAGTGATAGCAGTATAGAGGGTTAGCTAAAGGTCCCGTACCACTTACATTAGGCATCAACTGTGCACCTTCTGAAAAATTGATATAGAGACTTGAAATTTTGTGAGTACTTCCAAGTCTAAGAAAACGACTTTTGGGGACTGTCAGAATTTTGAAGGGACCATTCTGGAAAGAGGCAAAAACCTTTGGGATTATGGGGGGTGGTGCGAGACTCTTTTATCACCCTGTATCTTTTTCTCATGAGCAAGTTTGAAGATGTATATGCATAAATGGACATAGTTTATCAGAAAGGATCCAACCCATGTTAAGTTGAAACTAAGAAAAAGAGGTTTGAAGTTTCACTTTTCCATAAGACTTAATGTAGAAAAATAATTTTAATCCTCCTTTTCACAAAATACTAATAGTTTGTTTTTGACTTAAGAGTTTTTGACATGAGAAAATATACGGATGGTAGAACTTAAAAACATTCTCAACTCAATTTTTACAAAAATTTGGGTTGATTTTTTTTCTGATAATCTCAGTCCAAATAATTATCGAAGAGTTTTGGAAATGAAATAAGGCTGCAATAAAATGACTAACTCTGATACTTGTAACTAATGTGTTTGTGTGATGCTTGCCTCTGAGATTTCTTATTTTTATTTCTTTGAAATGAAATTTTTTGATGTCTAATTTAAATTCCTCTTTTTTCGGTTTTTCTTCCTTTTTCGCAAAAGAACCAATTGCTATTCACTAATGGATTGCATTTTGCAAAAGGGAACCACTAGCATTGCAATGTTGCCAAGATTGTGCAACTTCTTTTGTCTTGGAGGAAAAACCGGATTATCCATTAATAGTTTCTATTTTACTCGCTAAAAACTGTAAATTTAAGACAAAAATTACCATCTAAATTTCATAATTTTTCACGATTTCCGCAATTTTATTGCAAAAGATGAAATTGCACAATCTTAGCATCATTGCAATGCTAGTGGTTCCTTTTTGCAAAATGCAATCCTAATGTTCAAATTGTTTTTTTTCCTTTTCTTTTTTTATTTTTTGCTTTTGAAATCTTTCCTGAATTGATTTTTGATCCTTAGTGAAATATAGGGAATTTCAATGAAAACACTGAGAATTAAGGTGGAAAATTGACAGTAGAAAGTTTATTTACAAATAAATAACTTTACAGGAACAAAAATCATCAACGAATCGGTTATTTACATATTTACAAAAACAAGCACAATATCACATTTTTCCAAGTGTTTTGTTACTTTTAAGTATTACATTCTTATTACATTCTTATTAGAAGAATATATAAAATCATAAACTAAGTACATAAATTTAGTTCAATATCTGTGCGAAGGAATTTTGTTAGGAACAATGTATGAACTATGGCACCTTCTTGAAAAATGAGCTCTAAATCAATCGAAGTAATTATAAATCAATTCAAATATTAAACACTAACATAGAGGAATGTTTTAGATTTTGATTGAGGTGTCATAATCAGATTTAAAAATCTTTAAATTATTTAGTCTACCTCCTCTATCGTGGGTCCTCCACTCGTACTTCGTTGGTGGCCCGCATAGCCTGGCATACCACCTTGTCCTGGCATTCCTTGACCGTTCTGACCGCTGTGGTGCATCTTGCTCATGATGGGAGAGCACTTCTTCTGAAGTTCTTGCAACTTGTAATTGAATTCCTCCACATCCGCCAACGTGTTGTTGTCTAGCCATTGGAGAGCTGCTTGGCACTCCTCCTGAACTGATTGTTTGTCTTCTGCGCTGAGCTTATCACCCGCTTCTTCAGCTGCTTGTTTGACGTTGAAGATGTAGCTTTCAAGTTGGTTGCGTGCAGCCACTTTAGCACGCTGCTTATCATCCTCTTCCTTGTACCGCTCAGCCTCGTTCACCATCCGGTCAATTTCTTCCCGTGACAGTCTGCCTTTGTCATTTTTGATCACTATGTTCCGTTCTCTGCCTGTACTGTTTTCTTTGGCAGAGACGTTTAAGATCCCATTTGCGTCGAGATCGAATGTCACATCAATTTTGGGTACACCACGAGGTGCTGGTGGAATTCCTGTCAGGTCGAAGCGACCGAGCAGATTGTTGTCTTTAGTCATGGCACGCTCTCCTTCATAGACCTGAATTGTCACGGCTGGCTGATTGTCCGAGTAGGTTGTGAAAGTTTGAGACTGTTTGCATGGAATTCTGGCGTTTCGTTCTACGATTTTTGTCATGACACCACCGGCTGTTTCGATGCCGAGTGAGAGGGGTGCTACATCAACGAGAAGAACATCCTGGATTGCTGAGCTGGTATCCCCACTGAGAATTGCTGCTTGAACTGCTGCTCCATAAGCTACGGCTTCATCAGGGTTGATTGAAAGGTTTAGAGTTTTACCGCCGAAGAAGTTCTGAAGTAGAGACTGAATTTTGGGAATTCGGGTAGAGCCTCCAACCAAAACGACATCATGGATAGTGCCCTTGTCCATATTGGCATCATTAAGAGCCTTCTCTACAGGGTGCAGAGTTGAGCGGAATAAGTCTGCACAGAGTTCTTCGAACCGAGCTCTTGTGACTTTGGTGTAGTAGTCGATGCCATCCAACAGAGCGTCGATTTCAATGCTGGCTTCGGTGCTGGAAGACAGCGTCCTTTTGGCTCGCTCCGCTGCCGTGCGAAGTCTTCGGAGAGCACGAGGGTTGGTGCGGAGGTCCTTACGGTACTTGCGTTTGAACTCCTCAACGAAATGGTTGACTAGGCGGTTGTCGAAGTCTTCACCACCAAGATGTGTGTCGCCTGCAGTTGCCCGCACTTCAAATAGTGAACCCTCATCAATGGTGAGGATGGAAACGTCAAATGTACCCCCACCAAGGTCGAAAATGAGAACGTTTCGTTCGCCCTTGAGATTCTTGTCCAAGCCGTATGCCAGGGCTGCGGCAGTGGGCTCATTGATGATGCGGAGAACATTGAGTCCTGCGATGGCCCCAGCGTCTTTTGTGGCTTGTCGCTGAGAATCATTGAAGTATGCCGGAACTGTGATGACTGCGTCCCGAACCGTGCCACCCAAGAACGCCTCAGCAGTTTCTTTCATCTTAGTCAGCACCATCGAACTAATCTCCTCCGGTGCAAATTTTTTGGCTTCTCCTTTGAACTCGACCTGGATTTTTGGCTTGCCACAATCACTGACAATGGTAAACGGCCAGTGCTTCATGTCCGCTTGAATCTTGGGGTCGTCGAATTTCCGTCCGATAAGGCGTTTGGCGTCGAAAACGGTGTTTCTGGGGTTCATCGCAACCTGGTTTTTGGCCGCGTCTCCAATCAGCCGCTCAGTGTCTGTAAACGCAACATAGCTGGGTGTCGTTCGATTGCCTTGGTCGTTGGCGATTATCTCCACTTTACCCTGCTGCCACACTCCGACACACGAGTAAGTGGTTCCCAAGTCAATTCCAATCGCTGGTGTTTTTCCGGGCATTTTGCTCACTTTTTCACTTGACACTTTGCACTAAGTAAAGTCACTGATGTAATTTGCGACTATAGCACGGTAATCACAGAATAAGTCGCGTACAACTTCGCGTGTAACTATTCAACACTTGAGAGTCACTCACTGAATTTGAATATCGCGCGTTTGAAAAGATCGCTTTGAATAGGTTCGTTTTGACTGTGAACGTTAGACCGCTTTCTGATTCAATACTGGCCCGGTAGAGGCAGCACCCGCCCTTATATACCCGCGACGGCTGGGAGGCGTGTACGGCGGGTTGCCGCGGAAGCTTCGCGAAGGCTCTAGGTCGTTCGGCAGCGCGTTCGAGAGTTTGCGAGAGGCGTCCATTCTTTCCGTGCGTTCCGTAGCGCAGCGATGCCGCTGCCTGCTCGGTGCGTCGGGAGGGTTCGGGAATGTTCGAGAGACTTCGGCGGCGCTCCCCCCCCCCCCCCCNTTGCTGCTCCCTTGCCCTTATTCGTCGGAGTAATAGAGAATACGAAGGAAGGGCGAGGGGAGAGTGGAGCGTGGAGGAATAGTAGAGCCTGTATGCCTTATCATTTTTACTATTTTTTATTTTTAATGTTTGTTAATTTTTTTGTCATTCACGCTTCTCATGCTTTTTTTTATCCTCTTTTTTATCTATTTTCTTTACTTCTGCAGAGAAATGAAAACCATGAACGAGGTCAAAGCGAGTTAAAATAAAATAAAATTTTTAGGGTTCTCTCTTGTTTTTTCAATTTTTTTCAAATTTTTAATTTAAAAGTGCCAATGAGAATGTCTAAAAAAATTTACAAATTTATCTTAAGAAGTAATATTGTTTTATTCTCGGGTCAGAACGAGTTATAATAAGAGAAAATGTTTAGGGTTCTCACTGGCACTTCAAATTTTTAATTTTAAAGTGCCAATGAGAATGTTTAAAAAAGTTAAAAATTTAATCTGATGAAGTAATATTGTTTTATTCTGATTTGTTTAACCCTAAGTTGGACAGTACTGGGCCCACTGTATTTGGACTGCATTTCTCAATATTCCTTCTGTATGGGTGGAAATACTGCAAGGATGAGGCCAGGGCTTCAAGTATTCCTCAATAGGGCTCCGAGAAACGCTGAGAGACAGCATCTCCAATTGGACGTATTCATGCTGTGAAGAATTATGTATAAATGAATTAAATCGAAAAGAAATATTTTCTAAGGGTTTGTATGCTACATAGGTCCTTTTGATTTTATTCATCTGCACATACTTCCTTTTAGCATAAATGGATTGCATTTTGCAAAAAGGAACCACTAGCATTGCAATGATGCTAAGACTGTGCAACTTCATCCTTTGCAATAAAATTGCGGAAATTGTGAAAAACTATGACATTCAGATGGTAATTTTTGTCTTAAATTTACAGTTTTTAGCGAGTAAAATAGAAATTATTAAGGAATAATCGGGTTTTTCCTCTAAGACAAAAGAAGTTGCACAATCTTAGCAACATTGCAATGCTAGTGGTTCCTTTTTGCAAAATGCAATCCAAATGTATCTAAGCAGCAACACCAATATCTGAGTCTTTTGGCACTAACGTATAGCTCCCCCTCGGAAAGTTCAAATACGAGTTCATTACCTATTTTCATGGAGGCCTTCTTTTTTTTCCAGTGTCGTCAAAAAATTGTTAAGCCTCTCGATGTTTGATTTCCTTCCTTTTATCTGCTTGTAGGAAGCACTGAAAAGACCGATGAAGCAAAAGAGAAAATTAAGAATTTTTATCTCCAACACATTTTACTCCTCCAAAGATCCACCCACTGAAGTCACGGATGATACAACCGGCATTGCTTCTTGGGAACTGCGTGTGGAAGGTCGTCTCCTAGAAGATTCAAAAACTGATGCAAGCAAGGTTAGTTGCCAAGCCATTATATTTTGAAAGATAAATTTTCTCAGTCCAATAATTTTATTGGATTTTGAGGAACCATCGTCTTCTATACTTGTCGTGTTGAAAGGTAAAAGCAAATAGTCGTGGAAGGCCCAGAAGTTTTTTTTCTCTCCATGCCAAGCAGTTTCGGAAATTTTAGAGTTCATCCAATACCATCCTAACATATCATTCAACAAGAAGTGAGGCTAGAATCTCGTTTAATATCTGGTAAAAATCAGTACAAAAGATGTAAACAGAGGGTCAAAACATAATCTCATTTAATGAAGCGTAAGTGCGCTTTGAAACTTACATTTTAATTAAGAAGTGCTACAAGCTGAATAATTATCTCCCTTTGCACAAAAACCATGACAGCTCCTCTCGGCTAGAGAGCTTAGCAGCCATCCATGTTTTTGGGTCAGTGTCGGAGGCAATTAGTCAAAACAGGCATTTTATCAAACACGTAGGCGGACGTAGGCCGGCAGTCAAATTTTGACAGTTTACAGAATTCTGTAAATTTATGGCAAGGAGTTCACCAGTTTTCAATATTTTGGGAAGAATCACTCTTCAAATCCAAGAACTCTCCTTGTTCTTTCCTTCTTACATGCCCTTAGTACATTTAAATGTTAAAATTTTAAAAATTCTATGTTTTGTGACATATAGAAAATTTCATGAGAAATGTGCACTCAGGATCTTTTAATCGTTTAAAATACTTGTATGCTGCATATTTTGACAGAGAATTCTTTTCTACAGGAGCAACAAATTATTTTGACCAAAATTAGGGTAAAAAATCAAAATTTCAATCTAAGTAAGAATATTTGACTATTTGCCTAGGCTTTTGACAAAATGCCTGATTTGACTTTTTGCTGACATCAAGACAAACATAATTCACACTCTCATATCAGTCAGAACATGTTGGACATTTATATTATTGTTTATATCTGGAGTCAACCTGCTCAAAGAACAACTTGAATGTTTACAGAAACGAAAATTTTCTTCCTTCTTCAAGTCTTTGGTGATTGAGCTGGATAAAGACCTGTACGGTCCTGACAATCATCTTGTCGAATGGCATAGAACTCCCACGACACAAGAAACCGATGGATTTCAGGTAAAGTAAAGACAATGTCAAGTTTCCGCTCTAGGAATAGTAACAGCTAAAATTACATCACAGGTGAATTTGAGTCAGTGACAGAAATGTTTCCCTAGTATAAAATGGGTAGCTTAATTTTCTTTTAATGTAATGAAAGTCCACCGTTGGAACTAGAGTAGCAAGTGAATGTTGTGCTGGTCATCCGCTTCTCACTTAAAAAATCAGTAACGGTGTTTTCTCAACTCAACTACAAGATACTTCAATTTTCTTATCACCGATATTCTCGGGTGACGATTAAAAATGAATTTTAAAAGTAATTTTCACAGAAATTGTTGCGCAGAATGCATACTACCAGAGACTTCTTTTTCTTTAAAGTCAGTTTATCCACCCTAAACAAGATCATGTAAATTTCTTTTGGTCTGGACTATACTCATAAAAATTGTTCGTTTTTTATAGTTGAGGTCAGTTGCTTACCAAATTGAATTCTAAAATACAGTAATAAACTCATGGCCCATATTTCATAAATCTCACAATGAATAAATTAAAGTGCAGGATTTGGTTGCCTCTAGGATGAAAACTTTATACAGTGTTTCTATTGCTGGGAAAACTGGAAAAACCTAGGGAATTGAATTTGGAGGGAAAACTAAGGGAATTTGATGTTAACTCTGGAATTTGAAAGGATTAAGTTTCACTCAAAACAGTTTAGTAAAATGAGTTACTTGGAAAAAGAGTCTAAAATCGAAAGCTTTCCTTGTTTCAAGGTTAAAGTGCTATCTTTAGTTAATAAATGCTGATTTCTTAGATAAATAACATGATCATCAATTTTTTTAACAGTTGTTGAGACGTCAAAGAATCACTATTTTTCTGATTACATGAAACGGTCAAAAATTTTCATGATGTGACTGTGTAGAATGCCTTTGATAAAAGTATCCATTTTAACAAAAGTAGGTAAGCACAGAATAGTGTTATTTGGTAGTGAAACTAGATAAGATTTTTACAAGTAAAAGCAGAGTTAAGAAATTTCGTGAAAGATTATAAGAAGAAATCTCATGAAATTCAGGATTAAACCCTTGAAACTTATGAATCTCCTTATGTCCATTTATACGCACGTAATGAACTGTGAAAGGGAACTTTAGAAATGCCCAGAAAGTTGAGTAAAATAGCAAAAACATAATTTTGAATTTTTTTCTCTTAAATTTTGGTTGAACACACAGCCGTACCGGTTGAACACCAAAATAAATTTTATGAATAAAGTAAGACGTTAGCTTTTATATTTGGAACAAAACAAATTTCTTGACTATAAAGAATCCTAGTACCCCCTAATAGCATATCCTTCTTTTTTGGTACAAAAGGGAGGGAGGGATCTTGAACTATCTTTGAAACAATTTAAATGATTTTTTCAGAAATTAACAGTTTCCTTCGCTAACATATTTCTTTTTTTAAACAGGAAATATTTAATAAATAAGTAGAGTACCTGTATTTTTGAACTTTGAAGTGATAGATTTTGAGATCTGTAAGTAGGTAGGTATTTTACTTTTTCTTGAATCTGAGAGAAAATGTTTCAAAATAAAAGAGTAAGCATTTTTAAAGTGTAGATTTCAACAATTAGGAACTGGAAGGAGCTTTTACCAAGTGACGCTGATGAAGTTATGAAAATCAATAAATATTGTACAGAAAACCAAATAAGCAAATATGGGTAGTTTCAATTTTGAGTTGAAGAACTGATGAAAATCTTATAGAAACGCATATTATGTAATTTGAAGCAGAAATATTTAAGCACAATGATAGACATCTTATAGCAGCATTGCAAACTTGCAAGACGGAGGTACCTTCATATTATGAATCGTTCCAAGCTCATTGAAACTTGGAACTTAATTTCTGTATTCCTGAATTTCTTGACTTATTAAGCCTGTTTATCCAATTTTAAGTAATAAATCAGAGTACCTATGAAATAATCTATTTTAAATCTATTTGAAAACAAAGAAAGTCAAGATCACATAACTAATTATTAGTCGGGAAAGGTAAGGTTACTTTAAGTATCTTAAGCATTGAATAAAAGTTTTGATTAAAAATGAATTAGAGAAAAAAGTAAACATTTATTTATCAAAGATCTCAAGACAATGTTTTAACAATATTTTAAGCAGAAAAAAAATTAGAACAAATACTAGGCTTAACTATAATTTTCAAAGACACTTAGGTAACTTGGAACCAAATTATAAGACACTTGAATTCTACATTTATCTGAATAATCTCTGAGATCAAGTAATGCAATGCATTTGAGTTTTAAGAAGATTCAGAAAAAATTGTAGCGGAGGTATGTTTTGCAATTGGCCCTTACATCTTATCAATTATATTTTATTATCACATCTTTATTCTTAAGTAAGTCAATTAATACCTAGGTCGGTAACAAATTTTGATATTCACAATAAATTTGGAAAAAAGGCATTTTAACTGATGTCCTGTCTTTTAAACTTAAACTTTGTTAGACATTGTACTGAGCGAAAAAAAAAAGCTGAATAAAATAAGATAAAATTAAATAGGTGAGTAAAGGAACTTCTATACACAAGAAGCAAAGTTTGATATTTTCAAGAAAGTTGATGAAAAATATGGAAAATTGGAATTTTTGATGAGGGTCTGAACATTAAAACTGTAGCTTCCAGTGTTGGTGTATTGAGAAAAAAAAGAACTCAATTTAGTAAGTATCTAGGTAACAAAGATAAATAGACAGTACGTAAAAGAGTATTTGAAAACACCAGAGTGTGGATACTTTTTTTTAAACATTCAGGAATTGAGTGTTCTAAATAAAACTGGTACCAGATAAGAGATACAAAGATTTAGCCCTTACATTCAATTTCTAAGCTTCACAAAGGCATTTAAACTTTTATGAGCCATAATGCCGTATGAATTTTAAAACGTTTCATTCATTTCCCTCGAGCCACAGAAAATGTTACATAACACCTTCATCCTCCAGTGCCTTCATTTATACCCGAGTAACAAATTTTGATATTTACAGAACGGTTTGTCAAAAAATTACTTAAAACATTGGCATTTTTGCCGAAAGTGTTAACATTGAAATATTTACTTCCTGCGCTGAGGAAAAATAAAATGCAAATTAATAAGTAAGTACTCAAATTACAAAGTAAAAAGAAAAACAATTCACATCTTGTGACTTGCAATAAAAGTTTTGAGCAAATAAATTAAGTTAGAAAAATTAAAGTAAGAATACCTACAGGAACAAAATTTAGAAATCAGTTTCCATTCAACTGAAGGAAAGGAAGAACTTGCTATTAATAGCACAAAAATTAAAAAAAAAAAAAAAAAAAAAAAAAAAAAAAAAAATAACGATGTAGAAACTCCTACAAATAATCAATGTTTAAATCTTCATCTTAAAAAGATAGATAACTGAGCATGAAGGCGTTGAAAGACATTTTTGAAAAAATTGAGAGGTCAGTTGTTTTTAACTAAACTCATTTCAAAGTATAGTGAAAACAAGCTGCTGGTTCCAACACTACTGTGTTGGAGAGCTCGCCTTTGGGAAACTATTAACAACTATTAATGATTTTTTCTGAAATTGTATATGTATTAAATGAATCTTTACCCAATTATCAGAGGTTACATGCCGATGCAAAATGTTATGACGTAATTTCATATGACAAATTTTTCACATTACAATAAATAAAGAGAAATAAAGAGAGAGAAATGGAATTATCTTTTATGAATGTGATTTTGCGGCAAATGTTGCAATGGCTATTTTTGCCATCGCATTTTTGTTTCTGGCTTTCATCGTTGATAAGCTTTTTCTTAACTTGTCAACAATGTAATGAAATCATATGATTTAATTTTAATTTTTTTTTTTTTAAATCAAGTCGCCAACTTGAATTAAGGTTATACTTTGTTAAGCTGGCAGTCTGGAATTCTGAATTTTTATCGGCACAGAGTTCAAAGAAACTATAATTTAGCACGGTTTGGAGGAACGTTTCTGCCATAATTCTTACACAATACTTATGGTATACACTAAGAGCTGAAAAGGAATTCACTTGAATTTTAGCGTGGAGCTCGAGAGACCACTTCAAGCCTTTGTATGCGAGTGGCTCAATGGAGCACATCACGCCTTTGTAGGTATGGGGTGGCTCAATGGAGCACCTCGCGCACTATAAATAGCACGGAGCTCGAAAGAGCACTTCATGCATCTGTATTTTAAGGTTAAAACGAACTCTAAAGAAACTCAATGCGAGGCTCAAACGAATTCTCAAGCATTCTAAATGCGAGGCTCAAACGAATTCCCAAGCATTCTTGATGCGAGGGGCTCAAACGAATCCTAAAGCATTCTTAATATGAGGTTTAAACAAACTCTGAAAGGATCCCAATGCGAGTCTCAACCGAGCTCTCAAGCATGCAATTATTTTGAGGTTAATTAACCTTCTATGGTACCAATAACGGCAATCTTAAGGATTATCCATTAATTATGCGCAAATCTCAATCTTAGTCTTAGTAACTTAAAATTAATTGAACAAATTATTAAATCACGTCGAGGTCACCATGTTTTTTATTTTAAGAAATAATAACAATTGCAAGTACAACTGCACACAAAAACTGCATTGAAAAGATAAGAGGATGATAACATACAATTAGGTTATTTGATATAAAACCATAGCAACATGCTATGATATGCTCGGCCACTGGAAAGTGCTGCTCTCTAGTGTAGTAAACGAGGAACAATTAATCCTCAGTTGAATGAGGGAACGGAAATGTTCGACGGAGGAAAACTGTAACCCGCGAAAATTCAACTTTTAGACCTTGAAATCAATGGGATTTTGGCCGTTCCTCCGACGGCAACGAGAACCATCCATTCGTCGCCACGGACACTACCAATGCTAAAAGAAATCGATCGCAAAGAGCTCTCCCGAGTGGGCGAGCTCAAAATTGGACCAAAGTCTTCAATTTTATATTTCACAGCACCAGTTGGAACTTTTTATAGGCCCTAATGCCCCATGTATTTTTCAGCTTTAACTCTGTCTGTCTCAGAATCACTAAAATACCTTTTAGCATCTTCATGCCCTGGTGTCTTTAATTATACTAAATAAAGTAGGCAGTCTTAGAAAATTTTTGGAGGTAAACTATTATCAATAGCACGAAAGTACCTAATAATAAACTTTCAAATAAACAACCTTAGAAGAGAAATTCACATGATTGCGCGAAAATCATTTTGGTAAAAAAACTATCATCAGAGCCATTATTGACGAGGACCATTAAAAAACATTTTTAAATAAAAATCCAAAAGTGGAGAGAGTAAGAAAAATTTACAATAAGTTTAAATACTTTACTGATGAATCTTGATTAAATGGAGTCTGGTTCTCAGGGGTCTGGGCCGATATCGGGTAGCTCAAACTCACATTCATCTGGATCCTCTTCATTCTCAGCATTAGATGTTAAGGGTTTATCCAAATCGATAATTATGATTGTTGCATCAGGCTTGCTTAAACTATTGAAGAAAAATCCCAAACCGTCACTGACATCACATAGTACCTCAAGGCTCTCAAAATCAACGTCTTGAAAAGCAATTTTACCTTGTTCTTCATTAGTTGTAGTACTTTCCGCCTTCTTCTTCATCTTTTTTGGCTCCAGTAATTTTAAATTCCGATGAATGAAAACCAATTTTTCTGCTCTTTTGTTGAGTTGTCGGTTATGTATCTTGCTATGAATTCGTCCATGGGCGCTGAAAGAGCGCTCCACTACTGCGGCAGTTAGAGGCAAACATAAAATTTTGACCGCAATTTTACCAAGCTCAGATGTACTAGAGAAAGCTTTCCACCACACACGTGGTTGAAGATCCATCTTTTTCCTAAGATGGTCTTTAGCGAAAATTCCCTGCTTTGCAGAATAGTTGGCATACTCTTCAAGGACTTTTGTTAAATCAAGATTGTGGATAAGTAATTTACAGCCTCAGACTGCTCATCTGGAGCTAGAGTATTACAAAGGGATGGATCCAAAAGAGCGGCGGCGCAATGAATCGGTTTCAGGGCCTTTTTTTTTGCGGTCGGTCAAAATTTGTCGTATTGTTTCCTTTTCATCATCCTCTAAAAAATCAGATTTCTCTAGAACTGCGGAGATCTTTGATGAGATGTCTTTGAATGCGATGAGGAATTGATTAAATGGCATGTCATTACTTCGAACATTGAACAACCATTCTTCGATGGGTCTTACAATCTCTAAGACCTCATCGAGCTTCTCCCATAAATGGTCGTTCAGGAGCTCATTCCTCAAATCTGGAGACATCAAGCATGTCGTTTTCTTGCCTTTTTTCTCAAATAGCCGGCTGTTGATTGCGAGAGCTTGTAATGCGCTTTTATTTTTAACTAAAGCATACATGCACCTGTTATTGCTAGCAAATCAAGTCTTGCTGGGGATTTTCTAAGATATGGATTTTTTTTTTTCTGGTGATCTCTGAAGAGAGCTAATTCTTTTGGTTTGCCTAGTATTTCTTTCGTGATAGCATTGCTCAAATCGATCACTTCACTTACTCTAGGCACTTTCGTACAGATAGCAACAAGTAGGAGGTTCAGTAAGTGCATAAGGCAACCATACCAAGTGAACCATGGATACTTATTTTGTAAAATATTTCCGGCTGCTTTCATATAATTTGGAGTATTGGTCACAGCTCCCATAACTTTCTGAGGTCCTTTTTCTTCAATGACTGTTTGCAGTTGCTCTGCAATATAATCTCCAGTGTGTGATTCTAAGCCACATTCTATAGATTTTTCAAATACTGGCTCTGGAGTATATAACATACAATTCATGATAGACTCTCGCCGAACATTAGTCCATCCATCAATTGATATACCTAATGTTTCGGAGTCTTCAACTTTTTTCTTCATCTTTACCTTCAAATCATTGTAGACATCATCCAACAAAAAACCGGATAAGTCATACGTAGAAGGTACATTGAAAGAAGGCCTCAGTCGAGCAAAGAATTCATCCCAAGCAGGGTTTTCAAATAAGGACAAAGGCGTGCCGGAAGCATATACAGCTTTTGCAAATAACATGCGTAGTATTTCCTGAAAATAAAAAAAGAGAGAATTACAACCAATGCATTGAAAAGTGTGCTTTCTTTCTTTTTTCTGTCCTCTCTTCAATCATGTATTTCATATATTTTCCTGAAACGTAAAACTATTAATTAACCAAAATTTCCAACTGAAACAGTGCTTTTCTCTAACCGTTGCATCTCATTTATATTTTTTGTGACCATAGACAGGTAAAATTCAAAGATACTTAATGGAATAGAAACAGAGAGCATCCGGCCATAAAAAAGGGGGAATGCATAAAAGAACGTAGAACAAGAAAAGTTTTACAAAGATTAAATTCGAAAAACTACATGAAATTCTCACAAAATATTATTTACAAATGAAAAAAAATCAGAAGTTTTGCGAAAAAATACCTTTCAGTTTTTCATTTAAAGAATGAAACATGAACTGTAGTCAAAAATGTCGCAATTGGAGATGATTGTTTTTTTTAAATTTAGCCGTAGGTACAGTTTTTTTTTCTTTTTTTTTCAAAAAAATATTTTTTTCTCACAAGGTGCATTAAAATTACAAAATTACATTCAACTTTTAAGTTCTAAACTGAAACATCAATTGGTATGTGGTTACTTACTTGTTCTCCTTTTGTCATACTATCAACATAAGACGGAAGGAGAGACTTGACACTGCTTCCAGTAGACTGTGGATTATTATTCGAGACTGAAGAGGGATAATTGGGGTCCCAAGCATCATACATTGTCAAATTTGTGGTTTTCTTTGCCGGAGTGAGTCTCATTTGAAGTAACCTCCTCTTTCTGTTTTTCTCTTCTAAAAATTCTTCACGAACGGCAGGAGGAACCTAAAAACCAAAGTAAATCTTAGATACAAGTTGTTTCAATTAAGGTCCTTGCCTCTTTTTGTCTGTATTTAGCAGTTTAGCCTTTAACTTTCTTTGCACCCACAGAATGATGGCTACTGGCTACATTTGAAAATCATGCGTTCATTTCTTGTGAAATTTCATTCGTTTTAGCAACTCTGAGTGAAAGGTACCGTTTTTAAGTTGCCAGCAACCATAATTTTGGGAGAGTGGTTAAGTTACACCGCTGCAATAGGTGTGTTTGAGTAGAGAGGCATTTTTTGAAAACACTGCAGGGAAAACGAAGGGAATTTGAAAATTGAGTAAAAGTAGAAACCCGGTTTAAAGGACAGCTCTGCTAAATTTTACTCCATATTTTTCATTTATGTTTGTTTTTCTGCAGGTAAAACGGCCAGGTGACAAAAATGTGAGATGCACGATTTTATTATTACTTGACTATCAACCTCTCCAATACAAGTTGGATCAGAGGTTGGCACGACTACTTGGAGTACACACACAGACTCGTCCAGTAATCATCAGCGCCTTGTGGCAGTACATCAAGACACACAAGTTGCAAGTAAGCCTCCTTTAATTTTACCAAAATTATTCTTAATTCTTGTTGATGAAATCCGTAATCACTCTCTTACTTGCCACCCACAGCAAAATGAGAACTTGTCAATGAGATAATCCTCACAAATTATATAAAATGCCCATCTAGGGAATTCAGTTTTCTAGGATTTTTTTCCCCCTTTCTTTCTTTTTTTTTACATATATAAATTTATACAAACAATTTACCGGACATCAACAGATTATTTATAGCCCACGCCAAGTAAGTTTATGCACTTCTAGACTGCAACAGAAGATGTGTGACATCAGTTTAGCATTGAATGTATACGCAGGATTCAAGATGGCGTTTCCTCTGTCGCAGTCTAAAAGTGCGTAAACTTATGTGGTGTGTACTCAAGTGTTTTTTTACAAATTTTTTTTTATCTAGATATAGAAACTTCAGATATTGGTTCTACCAAGATAGGTAAACATTCCAGAGTATCGATTTGTGGGAAAGAAAGAAGATAGAAATCTAGGAAACTGAGTTGTAGAAAGAAATTGGTTCAAATGGAAGATTACCCAAGAAAAAACAGAAGAATTACTTTAAGAAAATTAAAGTTTACTCTACAAAACTGAACTCAGTGGAACAACTAACGTTCAAATTTGTTAATAAATATGAGAGTAATACATTAGATGTCTTTAAGCTTATTCGGTTAATTTTTTTTTTATATTTTGAGAAATGAATAAAACGGAGTCAAAAATTTTTTTTATCAAATAATGATAAAAAAACCACGCATGTTATTATCTACTACAGAGGAACTAACGGGCTAATGGGCTTTACCCCAACTATTTTGTGAAAATACAAGCATCTCAAAACTCTATCGAGTAAAAGTTTTATTTTCAGGGCGGGATAGTTTTCAAAGCAGATCAGCCTTTTTAAGTGTTTGTGTCTAATTTGCAAAAATCAGGGATCGCTCGTCGGGTTTTCAAAATTAATTGTTGGATCAGTCAAAAAAATCAGGGAATTTCATTTTGCAGTTCGTAAGGCAACTCTGTACAAATGATGCCATCTTTTTGTGTCTTTTTACAGGACAGCCACGAGAGGGAATGGATCAACTGTGATAAATACTTGGAACAAATATTCTCTTGTCCTAAAATGAAGTTCGCTGAAATCCCGCAGAGATTAAATCCACTGCTGTCGACACCTGATCCAATTGTCATTAGCCATGTTATCAGGTACATTATTTTATTTAGGGCTGTGCGAATATTCGAGTTCGAATAATCTTTCAGATATTCGAGTTGAAATAATCTTTCAGGTATTCGAGTTCGAATAATCTTTCAGATATTTGAGTTCGAATAATCTTTCAGATATTTGATTCAAACTCAAACTTGGAAACCTCGAATAATCCAGTTATTCGACTACATTGACAAAACTTCGAATATCTATGAAGAAAGACCGAATATTTGCACATTCGGCCATATTGATGACATACTAGGAAGAACTCAAACAGGCTGGCTGTTCAAACTACTCATTTTGGGGTTAGGTAAACAAAGGCCAACGTTTCATTGGTTCATCCAGCGCACGGCACTCGCACTATACAGGCCAATTCAAAATTCGCGCCACTTGTGCTAACCTCCATAACCTATTCTCCTCCGCCCCGCCCGGTACCCTGTTCTTTACAATATTGCTAGACTGTCTTTGCAAGATCAGCATTGATGTAAAGTAAAACTGAATAAAATGGATTTTTGGACAGTAAGCAGCAGTTTTACAGTTCTGCGACAGATCAATCAATTGCTCGTCCTTAAATAAAGGAAACAATTTTCTCTTCCTTCTTTTCTTTCCCCAGCAAATCAAAATGTATGCAAAACCATATAATGACTAAATGAATTGATTAATTCTTGATCTTTTTATCGATCATAGTAATTTCTTTATTCAAAATTTGATTATTAGAAAGAGAAAAAATTATTTATTGGATTTTTACTTCGATCAGCACAGTGGTTGGTTTTGGTCAAAACTAGATAAAAACTAAAAATATTCAATTCGATTCGAATTCAAAACTTTTCAAAATATTCGATTCGATTCCACATAAAAAAAAACTATATTCGCACAGCCTTATTTTATTATCACAAATAAAATAAGCAAGTGTAAAGTAGGGGACAGCCCCCTCTTTGAATTGATTTCGATTAAAGCAAGTTATCTGAGGCTTCTCTTACAAAAATAAATTATGAAAAATTTATCATAAAAAAGCCGCTGATATTGGTTTATATGCATTACCCAAATTGCTCCTCAAATATTTTAACAGTCAGCGTTTTAAAAATTCTGTATCTTATTACATGCTGAAAATCCTGAGATGAAAGCTTGTATTTGATGCCAATTTTTACAGAAACTTTTTTTCTAGATGAGCAAATAATTATTTTGTCTAAAATCAGTAAAGAAATCAAATTCAGTGTTGGTAAGTAAGAACGTTTGATTATTTGCCCATTCCATATGCATGGGCTTTATTTTGATGGGCTCTATTTTAATGGGCTCATTATTTTATTGTGTAGTGAAAAGTTTATTCTCTCTATTGTTCTTAACTAAATTTTAGTGATTGGTTGAAGATCTACTACTACTTACTTTTGAGATATTTGCCTCGAAACATTTATGGGACTCAGCAGAGCTCAACCCATCGAGAAAAGCAAAAAATCTAATCAATTGAAAATTTCGCCTCGTAAAATCAATGGAGGGGTCAATCAAAAAATCAAATTTTGTCCCGAATATCATCAAATGTTAAAAACGTTGAAAAACTTGAAAGTTTATAAAAGGAGACGTAGAAAATCTTTTGAATTGTTTCTGTGCGGAGCATGATTGCTGTTTCTGATCAATGCACTATACTATGGTCCATGGTTTACGCATTCGATTGAAGCTATAATATTGGACTTTCTTGCATTTTTCAAAAAGTGGGTTTTGGCAGAAATACTTCTGGACTGAGAGGCTATTAGAAAAAAAGAGTGTTTTTCTAGAGCAGATTCTGAGTTAATCTGATTTAAATATTGCCAAATGCTCTGTATTTTGAAAAATTTGCACTGACTGTATTCTGAAAACTCTCTAATATCATTCGTTTTTTTCTAATTACGACTGCTTCATTGTATTTTTTAATGAAGATAATTTTCATGATTATTTTCTTAACTTTTCTTCAAGTGTGGAAGGCGCAGATCAAAAGCAAACAGCGTGTTATGATATTGATGTCGAGGTAGATGATACGTTGAAGACACAAATGAATAATTTCCTCCTGTCTACAGCGAGTCAGGTTGAAATTCAGGTATTTAATTTTATACCATAATTTGTTTTTCCTTCTAGAGTAAGAGAAATCTATCGGCTGTTTCTTTTTGAGTGGAACCCTTTCATTTCATTAAGCAGTTTGATTTTACACCTGTATCTACCTGGATTTAGATTTACAATGTGTAAACGAATAACTGCACTCTTTGGTTCTTTCTCCTTTAATGAATTTTGGAAAGACATTTCTCAGACGTAGCGAATCTGCTTTTTGAGTCTCACTGAGCATGTTAAAATTGCAAACTTATCGTCACTACTTTTTACAGCGATTGCTTATTTAAGATGTCTACAAGTCCGGAATTTCCGAATAATCCGGAAATAGCACTGATTTTTCAAAGAGGGTCCGGAAGCACTGAAAAGGTGCGGGAATTCCACAAGAAGGTCTGGAATTTTTATTAATTTGTTGTCATTTTTGTCGCAATTTACGAATTTCGTCAATTGGAGGTACAGAAAAAGTACTGAATTTTTCTGTTGAGATGGTACTGAATTTCTTGGGAATGTACTGAAAAAGTACTGTGAAAGCACTGATTTTTGGCTAGCCTGTTCTAGTAGACACTCTGTTATTTGAAGGAATCAGTGTCAGATGTGCGTATTTTCTCACTGACTTTGCAAAGTCTCACTAATGAGTATGAGTACATGTTTTCTTTTTGAAAATATCAGAAAATATATCTGTATATAAAGTCGCTCCTACAATGCACTCTGGCGTTCTGCGACACCCAAACGCCACATATGCCTATCCTCCCAGAGGTTATCGGGCAACTGACATTGCAACATCTCTTCGTCAACGCCCTGCCGCCACTCCTTTACGGGACGTCCTCGTCAAATCTTTTCAGGTGGTGCCCAATTCAAAACTTGTTTAGGCAACTCTCCTCCGACATTCTTTGCATATGTCCATACCAGCATAGGACATGACGTCGTGCACGATATCTTTTTCAATCTTCATCACCTGGCGAAGTCTTTCATTTCGGACACGGTTCGGTCCTGAAATGCCGGCAGATCGCCGCCAAAAATCCATTTCAGTTGCCCCCAACATTTCTTGCGTGCTTTTTGTCAAAGGCCACACTTCACTACCATAGAGCATGATACTTTTAAAAATGGCGTCACATATCCAGTGCTTGTTTGTCTTTGAAATGCTCTGATCTCAGAGCTCCCTGTTAATACCGAAAATATATTTGTCTAACTACAAAAAACACTGAAAGAAAATCGAGGGTGCAGCTGCTAAAACTGTAGCAGCCTAACTGTAAGTGCCTGAATGACCATCCAAGAGATGGGCCTAGATATGGATCTTATACTTAGAAGATGAATACATTTTATGTTTTAAATTTTTGAAGTCTCTGCTAGGATAAATGCAATATTTTCATCAATTTTATTTCTTTTACACTCGCCTAACCTGGTAATGACTAGTCAAAGAGGGCTCATGCCATATCCAAAAGACTAAGAAGAAGCCGGAAATATTTTTCTTTGACCATTATTGTTTATTATCCTTGATTAACTGTTTTGACTCAATTATTTACAGACCCTGGACAACAAAATCCATGAAACAGTAGAAACGATAAATCAACTTAAAACAAACCGAGAGTTTTTCCTAAGTTTGGCAAAAGATCCGCAACAATTCATCAACAAATGGATCATATCTCAGACTAGAGATTTGAAGGTAAATCTTAATCACAGTCCTAATCGTCTACTCTGCTCTATTATACTTTTTGCGTTCATAGTGGAGGTCTGATTCCATAAAAATTTTGCTGAAGTTATTCATTTGATTATGATTCCAGATTCTCTGTTTTTGTCCTCAAATGAATTTTTTTTATTCAGTATAGGAACAGTAACACAATCGCAATGCTCATGAGATCTTGCAACTTTCCTTTCTTCAAAAAAGAAGATCTAATGGTGCTCTACAAGTCCGCTGGTTCATGGTGTTGGCAAATAAGACATGCGCTGGTAAATCATCAGAAACGGTCTAAAAAGTCGTCTTTCGGCTTAAGAAACTGCGAGGAGCCTCAGGACCTTGTGCAATTTATTCTACTTCTCGTAACATGTATGATTAGTTGATTATCTCGAATCAAGGTTTTCTCATTCTCTCTGGGCAAACCTGACTGTTGGCTATTTCAACTGTTTTGGCTGTATCCCTTGCAAGCAACAGACCTATTATGAATCCATTTTTGGCGCGTATACGTAGTATACCGCCTTTGCGATCGTTTCGACCCCCCACTCGATACAATAACCGAGTCCCTTAGTTCCTTACCGAAAAGTGACTACCGCGAACTTCTGAGATTTTCCAAAGCGTGTAAAAAGTTTATTTATCCGTCAATAATTATGATTTAAAGTTGTTTCTCATTCTGGGGCTCTCTAGTTAATGTGTACTGAATACCAAGAGTCTACGTTACTTGGTTTTTCTTAAAAAAACCGTAGAATGCGACGCGCTGATTTAAAATATGCATATATAAGCAGAAGCAAGCGAACTGATTCGAGGATGGCTGATCAGGTCGGCACTCGTTGAATGAGAATTTCACTTCTTCGTTTTGTTTAAAACGTTGCTTTGACAGATCTCCACATCCCTGTTAAGATTTTCAAAATTTGGTACCCCTTGCTCTGATAGCCAGGGCCAGCAGGATAGTGGTAAGTGCAATCTGTGATGAGCCTCGAGACTCATTAGCCCATGTGCTAACCGTGGCCCATACAGAAATTCACTCCCCTATCAGGCCAAAGCAGTGCACAGGCAGGCACAAAACCCAGGTAGTGTCCCGGTCCTGGCTCGGTTCGCCGCGTCGCTTCCCAGCTGAAGAACAAAAGGCGACCCTCGCGGCCCCCGCCACAGTCAGACCTAATTACTTTCACTCGATTACCCATTTCACCTTCACGCTGGGATCCATCAAATTTTCGAAAAAATTGTTTCGCGAGTACTTAGCAATTTTTTCCTTACTCTCCATTCAAAGACAAATTGAAAGAGGTCTCATTCATAAAAATCGGCCGAATAGAAGAGAAGTTACAGTATTCGAAATCCGAATAAATCAACGAAACTTCTCCATACAAAAAATAAAATGAAGGGGAAAAAAGAAATGTATAAATTACAATTAAATATAATTGACCTCACAATTTGGCAAGCAATTCAACTATATAACGGAGAAAAAATTGGGAGAAATTACAAAAAATTCGCCTCTTGTAAGGGGCTTCTTTGTAAGAATTTTGATCTGAAGGCAAGGATTGAATACCAGCGCAATACTCCATACAATACAGGGTGTGCCTGAACGAACATTTTTTTTTTTGTGTCAAAATCGAAAATTCTAAATATTTTTTAACTACAGTGTCTCTTGAGTCGTTTAAGCCAAAAAAAAAATTCCGTCCAGATTCTGGAAAGTAAAGGCGCTTTAAAAGTATTCTGGGGCTATGTATCCTAACTGTGTCCACACATGGTTTCTGTTCAGCATATCCATGTGTAAGTATTTTTACACGTAGAATCTAATTTTCACGTCAGGGAGTCGACACATCTCGATTTTTTCCATTTTATACGGAAAATTGATGGTTTTTCGGGATTGAAATTATTATTGTTTCATGAAAAATAAATGCACCCAAAATGACTATAGCATATTGATTTTTATATATTTGCACCCACGAAATTTGTTGGTAAATTCAACGAGTGAGTGCCAGTGCATCGACCTGGTATATCAAGTTTCTGCAATTTTTTACGGCAAATCAGTAGATTTTCGGGATGTAGATTGCTTACTTTCAATTCATAAATGAATGAAGCATGGACATGGTTGAACTTCTTTGCATGGAAATACGTTTAAAATAACAAAATCAAGACATATTTAATGCAATTGTATTTATATCGAGTCAATTTCTTTTCAATAATATATCGGGATTTATAATAGGTACCGGTGATTTGGATATTTTAGCCCCAAAAAGACCTTTAAATCGACTGTATCTTTCAGGAGTTCGACAGAATTTTTCCTTTCTTCGCTTAAATTATTCCGTAGCACTTTTCTTTAAGAATCTGATAAGATATTGCTGAGGGCAGATCAAAAAACTTAAACTCGTTCGAATGGCTTTCTACATTCACAATACAACACGGAAAAAAACGAGTTAGGGTTGAGGACTAGTTTCTGCCCTTCAACACTACCGCGCGGTACCTGATTTCGCAGTCGTAAGCCAAGGTAGTGCTGAAGCCTACCTCGCACTTGTGTTCCACGCTAGATGACCCGTGACGTTCAGAAACAGATCTGGCAGCTCGTAGGCACAGAAACAGAAGGCTCCAAGGATAGATCCGGCAGGGCTGAAGCCTACTTGATGCAAAGTTGCCAAAATGTGCGAAAAAATCTGATTATACCCGTAGAGCATAATTTCACTGCGCACAATATAGTTTTTTCAATTATTTTTATTTTCTTTTAATTTTTTATTTTTTCAAATTTTTCTTCCAGTTTATTTGGCTTTTCTTCCTGTTTTTTTTGTTGCTCAGGAAGCCATAGCTAGCTATAGACACGAGTTTTTACAAAGAAATTATTTGAATGTCAACGGGCATCAGGAGGACTTTTAGAACATTCATGCTCCATAGCTCCGGCTTTCAAATCAGGGATTAGGGTCGAGTAGAATCTGTTTCTGCAGATCCACTCGTCAGTTCGGTGAAAATTTGTCGCCACCACCGGGATTCGAACCCGGGATCTATGGGTCTAGAGTCAGACGCGCTAACCGCTAGGCCAACCTGGCTAGCTTGCTTATGTCAAGGAAAATCTGAATTTTTGGGTGTTGATTCTTTTCTCATAGTATTAAACTATTACTTTAAATAAAGCGCCGTACTGGGCAGCGCGACGCGGGGCAGCCATGTTTTCTTTCCTCGTCCGAGGCGAATACGATGACGTAGTCGAGCAGTCCACGGCGCATACGCATCCCGGACATTCTAGCCTTCCGCAAGAGAAATTCTACTTGTGGAGACAAGCTTGCCGTGTGTGTTGCAGTCAAGCGGCGGGTAGGCGCTACGAACAGCGAGAGGTAGCGTTGACGAATACATGTTCTGTTCCTCAGGACTACCGACCCTAAAACTACCCATAGGTAGTGCCGAACCCTACCCTGATTTTTTTCCGTGAAGGTCTCGTCAAAGTGCGTCGTTGAAGAGTTGGATCGTATGAATTCTCTTGTTGTGCTACTTGCCTATTTTGAAATCTCTGTAAATGAAAACTAAAGGGGTTGACATGTGTGAGTTAATGACGCGCCTTATCAACACATTGTGTTGGAGTTCACTGCTTGTTTTTTTATCTTTTAGTTGAGTATAGTGATTACGGAAGTACATATTGAACTATTTTTAAGTAACCATGCACAATAAGTTCAAGAACAAAACGAAAAACAAACTTGATGATGGGGGACGATCAGTCTTAACTTAAAATTATTTTTGAACAGTGACTCGACACAAATTCTACATTAGTTTTTTAATCCTTTTAATGGAATTGCAAATTACTTCGTAATCTACAGACATCAAAATGCAATGTTGAAATTATATAAAAGTGTAGTAATTATAATGCGTGATAAATGAATTAAATTATATTATGATCTTCTCTCTTTGACGAAATTTAAGTTTAATTTCCATATAATTTTGAATGGCTTGCAGTTTCTTGCTTGAGTTGTTTGAATAGTGTTGGTAGTTTCGCCAACAAGCATTCAAATTCAGTTTAAAATTGAATTTTTGCACCGAATAGCATATTTCATTGAGAAAAAATTGTGAGAAAACCACATATCTCCATTACAATATTTCTGGAATTCTGCTCTTATTTAATCTTTTGGAGAACGAACAAGCCAACTCTATCGCAAGGAAACAAAAATAAATGTAGATTGATGCACAAGTTGCTTAGAGAGTTGGTAATTTTGCCAACGTGTGCTCAAAATTCAGTCTAAAATTGAAATCAATCAGCTGCCCTCATGATGAGTCCAACTAGACTCAATACGCATCTACAGTTGCCTTCTTGACTGGTCGTAATTAGTGTTGCGCCATACAGCATAGCTCTCTTGAGAGCGAACTTGTGCTTGGATGGGCTTTTCCTCTCTGAAATGGAACCGCAGTTTTAGATTGAACTTTGAAAGCACGTGGGCAAAATCACCAACTCTCTTTATAGGATGAAATTTACACAGAATACTCTGCTAGCAGAAAAGAAAAATCGATCAAGTTTTTAAGGTGATACGATGGAAGCCACATTTTGTGTCAGAACGGCATGCGATATATCGCATCAATTGGTTCTATTTTTTCAGCTACTCGTCATTTTTCTCCAATTTTGAGATCGCTATTCTGTTGTCAGGAGACTAAAGCATTCACTTACCAATCTATAACGAAGAAATTCAACGTAATAAAGGCGTGGTTTTTTTAGAGAGAAAATATCGCATTCAAGTGCAGTTTCGATATCAGTATCGAATGCGATATTTTCTCTCTAAAAAAACCACGCCTTTATTACGTTGAATTTCTTTGTTAAAATTGGTAAGTGAGTGCTCTAGTCTCCTGACAACAGAATTGCGATCTCAAAATTGGAGAAAAATGACGAGTAGCTGAAAAAATGGAACCAATTGATGTGATATATCGCATGCCGTTCTGACACAAAATATGGCGTCCATCGAATCACCTTAAGAAAATAAGTTGACTAGTTTACGAAGGAAAAAATGAAGTATGACGGATAGTCCTCTGTGTTGCAAATGGAGGTACGTGGTTTTGCACTTTGGCCATCAATACCTTTTTGAGAGAAAATCGTGTCGTTGTGAGCTTTTTTTTTGTGTAATGAAAAATTGAGTTTCATACTAAGTAAAGCTTGTTGGCAAAATCATGAACAATCTGTCTATTAATAATTTTTTGAGTTTTTCCTGGGACGAATTTCTTTGAATATACCTACTTGTCCTCTTGCTTTTTCAGACAATGACAGACGTTGTTGGAAACCCAGAAGAGGAGAGGCGATCTGAATTCTACTATCAGCCGTGGGCACAAGAGGCTGTCTGCCGCTATTTCTACTCAAAAGTTCAGCAGAAGCGCGTAGAACTTGAGGAGGCCCTAGGCATGCGGAACGGCTAAGTCTCAAGCAACTCACCACTCTTATTTATTTTTATTATATCGCGGGATTTAGGTTTAAGTCAACTTCTACATGTAATGTAAGACTGTTGCTTCAAGTTCGACCTCAAAGGTCTGGTGGGTTTTGTGACCCTCTCGTCGTTTTGAAAGATCTATTGGAGGATTGCCTTTGGTCATTGGTGCTAGAATAGAGCTGAGTGTTCTTTCGAATGAACTGGCTGAAGTTTTTTTTTTCTTACCTGTAACTCAGGTAGCTCACTGATGTTTTTATGGCCAACGATGCTTAAATTTAATCGGAGAGTTTGTGGCTTGGATTTTTCCATTTTTCACTTTTTTAAATGCATATTTTCCGATTCAGAATTTGTTACTAGACAGTCTCAGAACTTGGAATATCCTTGTTCATTTATCCTCGTCCAAATTTGTGGTAAAATGTGGTTGACACATCGGAGATTGTAAAATCTATACCAAGATTAGGTACAGTGGAACCTCACTTAGTCCGAACCTGCTTTAGCCGGAAACCCTGCTAACGCTGTAATCATGGCACGGTCCCTAAGGTGGAGCATTTTTCCACTTTTTTCGAAATTGCGGATTGGGTAGGGCAGAAAATTTGCTCCTCAGAAAACTATTGGAGGCGTGTTGTTTCTTTTTCCGAAATTTTGACTCCTTCCGTTGCCCCCAAGCCCTTAAAGTTTTGATTTTTTCGGAAAATCGTGTTTTTTCAGAGTAAATCTCGATATTGAAGCGTTACTGTCGTAAAAATGACCAAATTATATGGTAGCATAGTGCCACTAAGACCTATAGAGCTTATTTTGAGAGGCACATTGTCGCCAACTTCCCAAAATTTACGGAAATAACACAATTTCTGGTAATTTTCGAAAATCTTTGAAAATTCGGCGCCCTGCCAGAAAAACAGCCAAACGGAGAAGTGTGACTTTGCCGTAAGACTTTTCAGTGGTATTTTTGCACGTTTACTTCATTTTTTCATACAAAACTACCAAAAACTTACTTCTAAGATCGTCAAGGTAAGGAAAATAGGGGTAAAATTGTGTTTTTTTCATGAATATTTGCACTCAAACTGCCCCTAATCGATCTGAATACCACATTCTTTTTTATCTATAGCCATCAGCTCAACTCTCCAAATTCTGAGAAAAATCAAGAAATAGTTACTTGGAAACGTGTAATAATGTTAAATCGCTAAGATATAATAATAAAGATAGAGCTCACTACAAGGACATGGTTGTTAGTAGAATTCCATTTGTTCAGTTCGGTCCTCAATTTTTGCTGCTTGTACATGGTTGATCGGTAGGGTTCACTATGAACTGGCGTTTTGTGTTGAATGCGGGCATTAATTTTCTTGATTCAAGCTTATTCCTAGTAAACCCCTCTCTCTCCTGTGGTGAAACATTTTTCGCGGCATGTGACACTAACTTGACGGCCCGCTCAACACTCTGCGTGTGACAGGGTATCTTGAAAAAGTTAGTTCTAAAAGGCACTTTTTCCGTGACAAAATCCTCCAAATCTCCGCTCGGTACATGCTGCAGCAATGGTGGTTCAGTGATGTTTGTACTATTCCAATCGATCATTTCTGTGTAGTTATTGGCGTTGAAATTGATTGGTGGTATCCGGAACTTTCTGATGGCTGAAGTTTTTTCTGTCTGGCTTGCAGTATCTCTTTAAGAGCTCTCTTTCTGATCTGTAAGTCTTCATCCACGAGCATGGCCAATAGAATATTTTCGCAATGAGCATAATAACCATTTCTCTCTATCACAGGTTTTACTATTTCTTGAAGCTCTGTTGGAAGTGTTTTTATAAGAACTATTTCTTTTGAAAAAACTTTGAGATGGGAACTTGTTTCTTCGCTCTTAAGCCGACTAGCTGAACTACTTCCTCCAATTTTTGAAGATTCATGGCCTGTCCATCGATGCCATGTTCAGCCGCAAAAAGTTTCAAAGTTCCGATTGCCTCCAGTGCAGAAATGGGGGATACTTTTTCAACAGAGGGCTCTTCTTCATCCTCTGATGATTCGGGTGCCTCCGGATTGAGCCCTTCGACAAGCTCATCGATTCCCACCTCAGGAGCAATATCAGCCTCGTCGTCAGCACTGATGTAGGAGTCGAGGGTGATCGTCGAATCACCACCAAAAAATTCTCGAAGTTCGCTGAAAAGAACTTCATCGGATGGCACATTTTCGACTAACATTGCGTCCTCGTCATCTTTGTCTTCAATTTCGGACAGAATTTCATCTAACACCATATCATCATCGGAAACTACAGCTTTGGGAACTACAGCCGACGACTCCGGGGTCTTCTTTTGTTTTGCCACTTTTTTGCAAAATCCGGCTTTCGCAAAACAGTTTTGAATCGAGGTGGGGGTAACTTTATCCCAGGCTCCAGCCAACATACCCACAGCATGGTGAAGATTAATTTTTAGGTCCTTAGCTGTTGGTTTCTCTTTTCCTTTGATGATATTGAGGCAACGACGCACTAAATGCCTCCGAAAATAGCCCTTGGTGATTTTTATCACGCCTTGGTCCATCGGCTGGAGTACGGATGTACAATTCGCCGGAAAAAATTCAATTTTGACGTGAGTCAAATCAGGAATCTCAGGGGGACGAAGTACCAATGAAAAATAAAGGAAAGTAACAATAATCAAATCAAGAACGAAGACCACAAAGAAAAGATACTAAGGGAAAAAAAATTAAAATGAAAAATTAACAATAATATTCAATTTAACCCGTTGACACCATATTTATCCCATCCTGAGCAAAAAATTTTTTGAATTCATTAATTTGCTCCTTTCACTGATCAGAAAAAACTACTTTCTCAAAATTTTGATAGGAGCCAAATTTTATTTGATGTCCACAATTATGGACAGCAGGCATTAAAGGAGTCAAATGAGGATAGTTAATTGTTGGTTTCTTTTCAATTTTTGTTCGTATTTTTTTCAATATAAAGAATCAGTAATGCTTGTTAAAGATGTTTAGAAATTAGGAAGAATAAGATTATTTTATTGCATGACTCATGACATGACAATGGAGAAACAATATACGATTGTATATGTTTATATATTTTATAAGCTTTACCTTTTTGTTGTTCTGGAATTACTTCTTCCACTTTGTTGGGTCCAACTCCTTGTACACAGTGTTGGGCATTACCGACACTTGATCTATTGCCTGTAGCACTCTCCGTTGCAGCATCTGCACCATCGGTTGTTCCTCTCGTCCCCATGCCATCGTCGCTCTGAAGTCCGCGTGACGCCAGTAATCCTCTTGTTTCACATTCTTCAAGGAGGACGTTTTGGTCACTGATACCGTTACTAGATAATATCCATCTACAGGTTCCGATATGAATTGCGAGACTTTCCCGTCTCGCTTGTAGGAAATATTTAGGGTAATTTTTCCATCTCCGTCGGTCGAAATTCTTTTTTCTGAAAATCTTGCGAATACGTCCTCCTCCGAGACCGACTCGCCGGAACAATTTTGAAATTCCACATTTACAGGTTGAGTTCCGCCACCAACATGCATGGATGGCGTGGATGTGGTTGCCGTGTGTCGCGACAAGCTCGGGGCACCTTGCACTGGATTTGTATATCGCTGCAAGAACTGATTTTTTAATTGGCTCGGTAACTTCAGACCAATAAACATCATGGATGATTGACATTTCAGCAGGTAATTGATCAAATGTTGTACACCAGCGGTCTTCAACTGCCCTGGAGTAAAATGAGTTTTCATAATTTTTTGAAGTAGAAGCGATATTACCGTCCACTTGTAGTCGATGTTTGGAAACTTTTTCGTTTCGAAAGAATTTTCCAAAATCCACTGTTGCATTTCGGTCAGTGTCTGATTCAGAGGAACTAAATTCAAAGTTGTCAGTTCCGTTGCCTGTTGAATTAGCTTGATTGTATCTGATTCCATCAGATTCTCCGCTGTTATTTCCGGTTCCGGTTCCTCTCCCGATGTTTCTTCGTCCGTTTCCAAAGTCAGTTCCTCTATTATCTTCTGCTTCTTCATTGGTTGTTTTCCTTTGTTCTTGGAAGTTGAAGACTTCAAATCGCTGAGGATTAAGGATTCTTCCTCGTTGTCCGAAATTTGATGGTCCAGGGATTTCCTCTTTTTCAGTTCTTCCTCCATCTGTTGCACTTTTTCCTTCTGAAGTACAATGTCCTCCAGAGTTACGTCTTGAGATTCCGGAATCATCGACGAAAGATTCTCCATATTTTTTAAAAAGAGCTGCGAACGAACTACACGTAGAGTCACTATCACTTTCCGCGGAAGGCACGTAGTCTTGATCACTGTCAACAATTTCAAAGGAAGATGAAGTAGACATTTAAGAATGATACTGGAGTCGCCCTATTTATATGCTTGAGTTTGCGCACGTCGCAAAAACTGCAACGTGATCCGACCAGCCCACCCGTCCTTAATTGGTTTTCGACGTTGCAATATCGGGATTAAAAGGTGACACTGTGCCCCCGGCCCGGCCGGCCCGACCGACCCGACCCGGCTAATGACATAAGCTTGAATTAACTGATGAGCCCTGCGTCGACCGATCAATGTAATTATCGATTTATCATGATAATTACGATCGGTCATGACGTCAAGAGTCAAAAACCTGTAAGTTTACACACTCAGTATAAGTGTATACCTTCAACTATTTTATTAAACTGTAATAGTCACGTCTTAACTCTTTTTGAAGTAAAACGTAAACATGGTACTTTTTATCTGCTAATTTTCTTTGCTATTCTTTTGTATAATGAAAATAAAAGGAAAATAAGATTAAAAAAATCAGGAACGGAGACCACAAAGAAAATGAAAGGATAATACCAACTAACAAACCAAGTACCAATGAAAAATAAAGGAAAGTAACAATAATCAAATCAAGAACGAAGACCACAAAGAAAAGATACTAAGGGGAAAAAAATTAAAATGAACAATTAACAATAATATTCAATTTAATAACTATAAATTGGAACAATAGGAGAACTGTTTCTCAAACTACCACGTGTCTGTTGTCGTGTAGAAAAACTTGTTTCTGTACATGCTCATTTTATTTTATTTTTACAATTGGTAAATGAGCTGTGTACATGGCCATCATACAGATCAGGTTATACATGCTAGATAGGTACATGATAGTAGTAGGCACAAGATACAATAAAAATAGGAAAGTAATCCGAAACAGGGTCTATAGGTTGATGAATTCTTCCTCAGAGTATGGGGCATTTGTAGCTAGCTACAAATAATTTGGCTCACCTTCATTTAACGAATTTAAATTGGCTTTTGGGTTCAAAAGCAGGCATCAACAATCTCGCCTTCAACTTGGATCGAATCAGCCCATCTCTTTCCTCTCCTCCACAGACTAATGCGGATGCCTCGGTGACAATCTTGACGCATCTTTCGACACTTTTTGTGTGACAAGGATATTTGTAAAAACTGTAATTCTGGAGGTCCTTTTCTCTTGTCAAATTTTCTAGATCTTCTTCGGAGAAATACTGTAAGATAGGCGGCTGGGTTACTGTGACTTCGTCCCAGAAAATCATTTCACTGTAGGTTTCCGCGTTAAAATTGAGAAGGGGCACTTTGAATTTTCGTACTGTTGAGCTTTTAGTCCTCCGAGCGTTCATGATTTTTTGCACGGCCAATTGTTTAACATCTTCTAATGCATTGTTGAGCATAGCAAGCAGGATGTTTTCTGGATGGGCGAAAAAAGCATTTCTTTGAATGACAGGGTGGACAATGTCTCTGATTTCTGTGCTACATTCTCTAGTCAATTCAATTATTTTGAACAGATGTTTGGCCCCTGCAGTGCATGATGACTGGGTTTTAATTGCAAACCAGCTCGGCGTGTATACTTTCATTATGTACGTAGCGATGGTCACCAGGGATGAATCGGGATTTTCGGTTCCTACATACGGTCTCAGTGCTCGATTGGCGGTCGTGAGCCATCTCACGTGCGTAATATTGCCAGGATCACGATTTGCGAGGTCAGCGGGGCAAAATCCAGATTTTGATTTTTTTAATTTTGAGGGCAGAGTTACAATTTGGTGCCTCTTGGAAATTTCCCAAGCATCAAGAGTGGCTGAAGTATTAAGAAAAGGTAGTAACGATTTTAAGAAAAATGTGGCTTCATTCCTATTTACATCATTTGCACCCGTCCAGACAATTTCATGCTTACGAGAGCAAACTTATCAATCAACTTATCTTTTATCTTATCTCTTACTTACTATTATGCTTTTATATGTATCATAATTATTTACTACACTATTAAAGTCAGCGCCAGGCAATGCTGCATTTTGTCTCATGAGATAGCTTCAGGCGTCAAAATTCCTTTCCTATCTTTGAGCATTGAAGCTGCAGATTTATTCAACATGCAGGTTGAGATTTTTTCTAGTTTTAAAGTTTGAGCTCTTTCCAAAACTTTTATGTGTAGTTGATAAGCATGGTTTTCTACAACAAACGATGTTTAAGATTCACAATAAGCCCACATGTAGAGAATTGTTGTTCACTGTTTATGTTTGCTCCTTGTATAGCGAAATATTCCTTTGCTACCAGGCGAAGGTTTATGGGTGTTTCTCCCAGTTTCTTTCAAAAATTCAAAAGCATTAAGCTTCTTATCAGCTATGCAATTAAGTAATTTGCAAATTGCAAATCAGTTTTGCTTTCAACAAGTCTTATTCTCCAGATTTTTGTGTAGGAAATTCATCTAGACTGGACCAGAAAGGGGGTTGTCCCTCCTCTTTTTCTCGTGGGGCATCGGTTCTTTTATCTTCTACGTTGAATTTATGAACTTTAGGCACGTTCCTATGAAAGAATGAAAATATTTATTAGTCTTTCACTCATCACTGGTGGTCAAAGGCTTACATTCTGGCTGGTACATCGACCTCGAACCAACTAAGTTGAGGACAAAAGAATTAGGCAAAAAATGCATTGCCTACTGACCTTGGCAAATTGCATTGAATGTTTTCTTTTCTTTTTTATCCGTATCTTTCAAGCTTGCGCCCTCTGCCTTCCTAGCAATTATTGAGACTGGAAACTTTACACTTTTCCAATATTCTTCATTCGTGTCTACAAATTTCGCTGCGGCTTTTGTCTTCAGCCTTCCAACCCAAGCTTTTTGAGGGTTTCAGGCAGTGAAGATGCTTTGAATTTTGGATCCAATAACATTTAAAGTGCACGTACCACAGCAGTTTTGTAATCAGGAAACCTAGCATTTACAGCTTTCTTGAAATTTTTGGCAATAATCCCAGCAGAAGAGGTAGAATTTTCCATAATTGCTTTAATTTAAGCAGCTCTCAATATAATATAAGGTTGGGTACACTTAGAATGAAGTTGAATCTGAGTCGGTGCAGATAGACTTAGTAACATCTTTGAAGGTTTTAAAATACCTGTGTAAGAAGAAACAGCATCCTGAGAGGTTTGTGAGATGGTAGTGCCCAAGGACCTCTTCATGTGGTTCAGCCTATGGAACACATTGTACTCTAAAATCCATCGAGTGGCGATATACTGAATGAATTTTTGCTGTTTTTCTTTCAAATGTGCTTGCATTTTTTCATGGAACTCCTCAGCTTGAGGACTGTAAGAGAAACAGCCAACTGTTTTGTGACCTTTACAGCATTGGGTCCACTCCTATCATTCGTCACGATTCTTGCCAAACTTTTTTGGGTGGTTTTTGTGGCCCGGATCTTTTGCACCAGGCATTTAAATATAGTTAGCTTCCTCTTGGATGACTTGCACTGCCCTTTTGTTTACCCTTCCTATGTTAGCTAATTGATGTATCGGCTAGTTTCCACCAGCGCTATTAGGCGTAGAATGAGCAAAATGTGTTTCTTTCTCTGACTGTGAACTCGTTCTAGTTCTACTTAGGGTAGGATGGGGTCAGTCCGCCACTTTTTTGCCCCAAGATTTTTCCTGAGTTCCCCAATTGGTGGATGAACTTGTTTGAATGCTAAGAGTGATCTTTGGACCTTTGACTATGCACAAAAAAAATTGGATACTTTAGGTGCATTTTCCCCCCCCTTTTTTGAACCTGTTTTTTTTAAAAAGAAAGTGGCGGAGTGACCCCACGAGTAGGGTCAGTCTGCCACATTCTTAGGGTTAGTCTGCCACATTCTTAGGGTCAGTCCGCCAGTGCTGGGGTCAATACGTCAGTAGCAAATGAAGACATGAGAAGTGCTGGAAAAAACCAGTGGCGTGGCGTGGCGTGCTTTGCGATATATCGATTGTTATGCCATTTAAACTTATGGAAAAGGATCGATAAACAGGGTGTTCGCAGCGAACACCTTAATAATCGATTCTTTACCATAGGTTTAAATGGAGTAACAATCGATTTATCGCAGTTCACGCCACGCCACTGGAAAAAACAATTTAATTAAGGAAAATGAAGGAAAACAAACATAGCTGAACTCAGAACTTTAGTCAGTACAAAAAAGTCTATAACTATAAGAACGAAAAGTTAATTTTAAAGGTCTAATAAATTTCAAAATTTGAATTTTTTTTTCAAAAAAAAGTTAAAATATCAATAAAAAGTCGGTGGTTTTGAAATTGAACTACATACATATAAAGGACTAGCCAGTGTAGCAGCACCTAAACCTAATAGATGAAGTAGAAAAATAGAAAGGAATTGCATACCTGTCTGTCAGACAGGTCAAAAAAGAACATAAAAATCTTACCAGAGGAACCAATTTCTTTAAGTCTACAAAAATTCAATTTTTGGTGCAGTAAACAAAAAGTACCCTGTAGACTATGGGTAAAAACTTAATTAGGTAGTATACCTAGGTAACTGTTCAAATTATTAGTATCAAAGCACCAAAATTTTAAAAAAAACAGACAAAATTAAATAATTTAAACCTATTCTAAATTTTAAATTGAGTGCCTGTTAACACAGGTTGTTCACCCATCTTTGAACACAAAAAGTAATGTACCTAGTACCTACATCTAAGTAGGTAAATAGGTAATTTTGGTTTTACAAAAAAGAAATATCTAGGCAGGTCGGTATTCAGCAAAGGGGAGAATACTCAGTAAAATCAAAATGGAATGCCAGCATTTCCTTAAACCGGCCATTCTTAAAAGTTGAAGGTTTCGGTAGATTTGCCGCAATGTCCTTCGCTTTGACGAATCCTTTTTCTTCAGTGCGCTGAAATTTTTGAGTCATTGACAATCTCTTCAAAAAGGTGACGTCATACCCTTGCTTGTGAATGTCATTGATTTGACAAATGTACAGTGGAGCCCGTATATAACGAACCCGCTTTTAACGAAGTTTCGGATATAACGAAGTAATTTTCATTCCCCTAGAACCTCCCTATACACTCAATAATAAAAAAGCCCGCTTTTAACGAAGTCTCGGTGGCGGCACCTCGCATATAACGAAGTAATTTGCCGCCATTTCCGCTATTGTGTTCGATATTTTCTGCTCTCTGGGCGAGTTCCGCTCGCTTGCGGTAAAACGTGTGACAGTCGCGGAGTCACGAAGTTACGAATAAAAGAGAATGAGCGATAACGGAGGGAGCGCTCACTGCGCAGCCCGCCGCGCATGTCTCACACCGCACTCTCTCACACTTGCACGCGTCTGCGATGGAGGGGAGGGGGGAGTTCGGCAGCGTGCCGATTCATCATATGTCGGGTGTCAAATTCCCGCCCTCGGGTGAATTATAATCGATGGATTTTACGCCGTTCTGATTATTGATGCAACCAATTAATCAATCAAAACAAAAGAAAACACCTGATGCGGTTAATAGATAAGATAACCTCTAATTATTGGTGTTTTGAGATCTTCGAGATTAGCGAGATTTTAACTTTTATCTTGTGATTAATTTCTTTTCTTTTACTATTCCGGGTGGTGTACCGTCATGGAAAATCAAAGTGCAAAGCGAAAACGTAAAATCCTCGATCTAGTGACGAAGATAAATATTCTTGACGAGGTTTTGGTGAAACGCGTGAAGAAAATTGACGTCGCGAAGAAATACGATATTCCGCTGAATTCTTTGTCAACAATACTGAAGAATGCCGATCAAATTCGCAACGCTAGTATCGGTTTTAAATTAAGCAAAGGTAGAAAACGAATCCGTAAGGCTGCTCATTCGGATGTCGACGAAGCCGTTCATAAGTGGGTTTTGGAGTGCAAAGCACGAAAAATCAACATTAGTGGACCGTTAATAAAAATTAAAGCGTTGCACTTTGCGCGAATTCTCGGAAAATCCTTCGTACCCGGTAATGGGTGGCTCGACCGCTTTAAGAAAAGATATAATCTGAAGTGCAAGAAAGTGTGTGGTGAAGAAGCAAGTGTTGATGAACAGACGATCAAAGACTGGCTAGCAGCAAATGCAGAATTGCTGAAAAAGTATGATAAGAAAGATACTTATAATGCGGATGAAACTGCTTTATTCTGGCAATTAATGCCCAATAAAACAATCACCTTTAAAAATGAGAAGTGTTCCGGCGGTAAATTCAGTAAGAAGCGAATCACAGTCCTGGTATGCACTAATCGAGATGGGTCGGATAAAAGGAAATTGTTAGTGATCGGAAAATCCAAGAAACCACGTTGTTTTAAACGTGGTTGCTTACCACCCACAATCACCTATGCGAACAATAAAAAGGCCTGGATGACCGGGGAACTTTTTTCCAAATGGTTGGTTGCTTTTGACAAGGAAATGACCAAAGAAAAAAGAAAGATATTGCTTATCATTGATAATTGTACGGCACATAATGTTGATCCCACTTTGAATTCGATTGAACTTCTGTATTTACCACCTAACACTACCTCCAAACTGCAACCAGCCGATCAAGGCATAATTCAGAATATGAAAGTGAAGTACCGCGCGCGTTTGGTGGAAAGGCTGCTCGTTCGTTGCGAAAACAACCTGCCGATGGAAGTAGATTTGCTGTCTGGAATTCAGATGGTCAGTGGCGCTTGGTCAGACGTTCGCCGAGAAACGGTTGAGAACTGCTGGAAGCATGCTTTCGGCGAAAAAGTTATTAGAAAAAAGAAGGGCCAAAAAGCAGCCGAAAATGAAGTGCAAGAAAATGACGACCCAGAAGCCGAAAAAGAAGCCGAAGATGAACAAAGAGTGGATGATGAGTTAGATGATGACGAAGAGGTAGAGGAAGAAGAAGCGGAAGAAGAAAAGGAAGAAGAAGAGAATGACACAGATGACGAAGAAGATTGCGAAGTGATGGAAGATGACGTGGGCGCTTACGAGAAGTGGGGCAAACTTCCTGATAAGGACATTGACAGTTTTGAGGAATTCGTGTCCATTGATGACGACGTCGAGATTTGTGCCCCGACGATTGAGGAGTCCCTCCTGCCACCCAACGCGGACGACGACAAGGACTCGAGTGAGGAGAGCGACGGTGAAGGGGCTATGGAGGGGGAAGCCGAGAGAGCACCGCCCACGCTTAGCGCCGCGTTGCAGGCCTTGCAGCAGGCGCGCCAGTATGCGCTCGCAACCGGCCTGGGAGGGGCCGTGGAGTTGCTCGCTAAAGTCGAGGGCGACTTCATTAAAAACTCGTGCCTGGCCAAAACTGTGCAGAAACCCATCGATTCCTTTTTCAAAAGGGTCTAAATTGTGTATTTTATCAAAATACATATACAAGTATTGAATCTGTATTTGCAATTTTTTTTGTGTAATTTTTCCCGAATCTTCCCACTGAGTCCGCTTTTAACGAAGTTCCGGATATAACGAAGTTTCTCTGGGAACCGTGAACTTCGTTATATACGGGCTCCACTGTAGTAACGGAAGCCGGTATTTGCTTTGGTGAAGATTTTGACAAGGCAGTAAGCACCCAATATTATTTCATCAGGTTGTTCTTCGAAGGATTCATCCATACCAACTGATGAATCAGAGTTGTGCTCAGAAAATTCATTGTCCGATAGTGAGGAGCTGGAAGACGGAGAATCTTCGACGAACAGTCTCTTCCTTGAATTAGTCTGCTTATTTGGATTTTTCGACTTCTTTGGAATTTTCAAATCTAAAAGTTTCATCGCTTTCCTTTTCTCGGTCTCTTTTTTCTTCTGTAGTTTTTCATTCTTTGCTTTTTCTTTTTCAGTTAGCTTTTCTTTTTCAGGCGAGGATGTGAGGATCACTGATGACAGTTTAGTTCTCTTGTTTGAATTTTTTCTTGGGCCCGCTTTCGGGTGAGGTTTGATTTCAGAAGGTGAAACGAAATTATCTGAGGATTTGGCAGCTTCAGGAGTGTTGGAGTTTACCCTTGGTCTACTTGGATCAACAGCAGCTGAAGTTAATGAAGTGCCAACAGGGGCATTGATTGGTTGACTGATGACAACTTCTTTTGAGGCCGGAGGTTGATTTTCAATATTTGCTGAAGAACCTGCTGCATCTGGCTGAGGCTGATTAAGTTCACCAGGGATGTCAGCCCCTGGTTGTAACTCATGTACACTGTTTTCTCCCGGGTCTGGGCGATCAGTAACAAAGGAGCCTGAAAATTCATCATCTCGATAGATATCCGAATTAAACGGCGCAATACCACACCGACGAAAACCAGCGGTGATGTTGCTATGAGTGAAAGCCTTCGGGAAAGCTGTGCCAACAAGTGCTGCTATATCATAAATAGTAATAGTCTTGGCAGGATTGTTTATCATCCACAAATCAGCGGCTTGATTAAAAAATCTCTTAAAAGGGCCAAAAACACCCACATCAAGGGGTTGCATCTTATGGCTGCAATGAGGTGGTAGAGTTAGTAATACAATGTCATTGTCCCGGGCAATATTTGTTGCTTCTGAACTTAAATGAGATTCGTGGTTATCAAGGATTACGAGTTTGGGTTTTTCTTTGGATGGGCGCTCGTGCTTTATGAAATGCTGTATGACATCCGGGAACAAATGACTCACCATCCATCCAGATGGGTTCGCTCTTCCTTCCGATCCTGTGGGCGCACCAGTGAGCATGTGATTTTGATACTTCACTCGAGGGAAGATGAGGAAAGGGGGAACAGCTCTCCCAGCGGCAGAAATTACAGCAACCATTGTCACGAGAACACCTCGCTCACCGGACGTCATCTGTGCAACTGTTCGCTTCCCGTTTGCCGCTATAACCTTTTGCGGCTTTTGCACTGTCACCCAACCAGTTTCATCGAGGTTATAAATGTCCTCAGGACCAAATGAATGTTTATTTAATAAATCTAAGAGCGTATCGAAAAACTTGTTTACGGTTGGTTTGGTAAAGCTAGTTGCACGACTGAGGCTGGTGCCTTCAGGCACTCTGAATGACAAATTATGCCTTTTCATGAAAGCAAATAGCCAGTCTTTGCCTGCGACATTATTCTTGATCCAGCTTTTCGGAACTTTAATGCTGTTTCGTAGCGCATAGGCACAGGCCAAAGTTCTTGCAGCCAAATTAGATTGGCCATAATGAATCTCCGTTGCCTGAATCAGGTATTCATAGAGCTCTTGTTCCGGATTTGCAGTAAAAATAGCCATGTTTGTAGCCCATGGGTTAAAATTAACTTCATCAAAAGAGGAAGCTTTTACCTTCTTTATGAAGTCTTTCAAAGTTCCCCGTGGGATACCTGTTTCTGTGGCAACACGATGCGGGTTCTCTCCAGCCTCTAGACATCTCTTCACAGCAGCTCGCAAGTCATTCACTGTATAAGAAGTCCGCTTAGTGGTGGTGCGTTCTCTCTTCCGTGGCATGGTTGGTCATCTAATAAAACATTCAGACAGCTTTAGACATGGGTAGGTAGAAGAGCCATAACAGCAATAGTAGGTGGGTAGATATTTTTAAAGTTGCGTTCCGTTGTAAACATGGTAGGTAGCCAGGCTCTAACTGAGGGCAAAATACAAAAAAACTTAACTAGACTAATCCACATTCAGTGGGTGATTGGCCATTTAGATGCTCAGCTTGCATTCAGATTAGGTTGCATCATTGTATTCGGACTTATAGCCCGTGAATTTCTCAGTAAATAAAAAAATAAATAGATAATTCAAGTCTGTTTACAGTAAGGGGTCACTCCGCCAGTGGCAGAATGACCCTCGGCGTCACTGGCGGAACGACCCCATCCCGGCTTCGCTGCACAAAATTGTTACCTGACATGACAGAAGTAAAGATATTTCAAAGATCAAAAACGGAATCAATAGCCTTGAGTGAGTAGTTTACGATGATGTACTTACCAAATTTCGATCACCAAACCACCAAAGTCCAGACGAAAAGTTCCAAAAAAGAAAACAGTTACGATCGGGAGCAATTTTAACACTTGCGCCTGTAGGTTAGTTGTAAACAAATGAATCATGCATGGAACAACATATAGTAGACGAGCACTTCCAACTGCTTACTCCCATGCTTTGAATTTCCCAATTCGACCACCGCTAGGGGCGCTACGGTCGACTGGCGGACTGACCCACCCTGGCGGACTGACCCCATCTTACCCTCCGTAGAATTAACGAAAAGAGACAAGAGAAAATCCGAGCATGAATTAACAATAATGGCTTTACAAAATTCGCGCTTCGGTACATCTATCTGCCTGCTGACAATTTCATTTTTTTTATGTGTTTTTTATGTGCTTTTCACAGTGTTGTCACTATGTTCAGTGCGAGTTAAACACCTTACCAATCAAATACCCTGTCAGGGCATGAAAGTTGTAAGTGACATTTTTGCGTGCGAGAAACCAAGTGCAAACTTCAAAGAAAAGTACAACTTTTATAAAATACTTGCTTGAGAAGATTTCTCCACGGCATTAAAAATTATCACAATCATTTGTTTAGTTCCACAAGTAGGTGTATTTTTTCGTTCTTGAGAACTCTCTTCCTTTTGCTTTCTTACTACTAAAGAAAGATCTGCTTCTCATGAGAAGAAAAATTCTATACGGGAGGACAAAGTAGTAACATGTTAGTGGGTAGTTTTGATACTAGAGACGAATGTTCCTTCCCCGGAGTGGAAAGTTGTTCCTTTATACAATTATATAGGGACCCAGGGTAGCAAAAGTTTCTCACCTAAGCAACCAGTCAGTGGAGAGGAGAGGAATGTTTCCTCGCCTAAACATTAACTAGTTGCTCAAACATACAACGATCGGTTCAGAATAGGAATTACACATTGGGTTGTTCAGATAAAGGGTGAGGACGATGGAAAGAAACGTACTTCTTGAATGACGACTCATTTTCGGCAAAATTTCCCTCTTGCACAAGCCAAATGATGATGTTCAATTGACGTTAAAGAAGGAAGTGAAAGGCTATGGTTAGTACGAACAATAGTTCACCGTATGCATGAAAATTGAAGTCAATTACGATGTAAACAAACTGACCAGAAAGACCTTGATGATGAGTAACATAGGCTGTCCCTAGGAATAAGGTTTAAACTGGAACTAGCAGCATGCTACTGTAGAAGTGATGCAAATTTAAACGAACGTGGCAGAAAACTCAAAACTTCATAAAGTCAAATTAATCTTCTCAATGGCTATTCATCTCCCAATTCAATTATGATTACAATTTAAAAAGTTAATCGCAATCATGATTAACGTTCAATTGACTGCTCAGCTCTAATAATGAGATGATTTTGAAAATTTCCAATGTGCGAACAACGCTTTCTGTGAAATTTTGACGAGGTAAAATGTCTTGTAGTACTTGAATTCTAATCAAGTACAAAGATGTGTACAAGGATTACTTTGCCACAAACTTCTTCCTTTATAATGTTGATACCAATAATATTGGTAATCTGTACTCCCATAAGTCTGATATTAGTGAAATGGTTGTGAGTAATACTCAGTCGGAGAATTTCTAGGTAATATACTTGGCGACTAATAAGATTAATACTCTGGCGAAGTCAATTACTACAGGCTTTTGCAAGGCATGATTGTAAAAGCCCCATCGGACCTCCTCTGCAACCAAATCTTTCCGAGAGATTGTCTCTTGCTCTATCATATTTCCTCTTGATAACCTCTGAAAATTCCCAATTGTTGGTTGCCCAGGTGTTTTTTGGCTCGATTCATTGCATCATGTGAGCTAAACTCCACTAATGCCAGTTGGTTGCCTCTTTAACAGCCTTCCTACCAAGGAGATGGCTTTTGCTCTTTCATATATATATACATACATATTTTCATACATATTGGGTCATCATTTTGAATGAGCTACTATTTTTCTGGGTCAAAGTAATTTTCTAAAACTTTTTAAAAACATATTTTACCTTTTATTGCAAAATAAAGGTTTTTGTGAAACGCCTTCTAGAAGGTGTGTAAAATGGGTCTGTATCTAATTATCTTGAAGCGGAAAAAACTGATTCAGGATTTTGTGTAATATTTTTCCTGATGTTGCGAAATTTATCCCCTATTTTTCACTTTTGCAAAAAGTGTATCCTATCGAAAGAAAAGTCTGCTTAAAATTAACCAGAAGTCTGTAACTAATGAAAGGTTTTCTCAACCAGAAATCAGTAGTACTTTGTTCGTCCGTTTACATCTGTTTGTTCTGCCCTGTGGTTAAAAACCATACAATTTTTACTCATAATTGTCCGTAGTCATTGTTGTACAGTAATTGCTTGGTGAAGATATTTTTTCCTCTCTTGAATTTAAAATTTTCCACAAACAAAATGCATGGTGACAGATGTATTTAATGCTCCAAAATCCAAAACTTTCAACAATCTTTTTTTTTTAATATCGCATCAAATGAGAGTAACTTGAATCTTTTTTGTTTGATGTGAAATTTTTATTTTGTAATGGATTCTCTTATTCTTTTCGTAATATGCTAATGGTGGAATTTTTTTTCCTGATGGAAATGAAGCAAAGCTTGTAAAAATGAATTGTTTATTCTGGGTGAATACTCTATTATTATCATTTGTATTTACACGATGTTGATATTATTTAACTATTGAATATTTATACCAAAAATTTAGATACGTAATCGCTGCTGAAAATGTAACCTTTAGGTAAGAAAAAGTAATTTAAATTATATTGTATGAGTTCAGTTGAAATTTAGTTGTGGCAGCAATTTCCTGGAAGGGTGCCTTTGTTAATTATGTAACTTTTCTTCTTTTTTCTCTTTCTTTCTCTTAAAATTGTGATAATTAATGAAATCACCAATAAATAAAGTGGGAACCGCAATTTTTTTTTCAATCGTAGTTGTTAGATGAAAAATTATTTTGAACAGAACTTTTTTTCTCAAGGTTTTGTTTCTGTACGTCTTGTTGGCCATAAAATAGTACTGTCTGTTGGAGAAATCCATTTGAAATGAGTCAGTCTTACGATTGGGCTTTGAGTAATCATTAAATTTCATGGAGACTTCGATTAAGTTTATGTTCACTGGAAACAGAACAAAAACATAGTAACAGGCAAAAAAAAATTGATTAAATGATGGACTCAGATCAGCTTACTAGCAAGATTCTCCTAGCGATTGCCTGGTATTGTTGAGCGAATAATTTCAATATTCTCATTAGGGTCATCCTGTTTATACTGTTTCCTTTAATCTATATTTTGTTCTCACAGTTCCCTGTTTAACTAGTGTAATTGGATGTATTTCTGTCAAACGGAACTCTGTGCATTAAGACGTGAGCCCTGTTATGCATATATTCTAATGGGCTTCAGGGCTCATGTCCTAATGTACATAGTTCTGTTTGACAGAAATAAGTCCAATTACTCTCATGAACGAAGAGCGGAAAGTCCGAAACAGAATTCCTGGCAATTCAAATTGAAAACTGACTAAATGGAGATGTTTCCTAACTCCAGTGTTCAGCTGATCTAAGTCCATCAATCGGGGAAAATTATTTAGTTGAAGTTTTTCTGCTAGTATCATCCATCTGCAATTTTATTTGTATGAGCCGGTGCTAGCTCTGAAAAATTGTGTGTGTGTTGTTGTCCATGTTCTCTTTACCCATTGGCACAGTTTCATTCTGTACGTGTCGTGCTTTTTTTACTGCTGAGTAAGAGACATTTTTTGTGACTTTCACAGCTAAGATTAGTTGTTATATGCATAGATGCATATTATCCTTCATCAGCTGTGATGATAAAAAATATTGGCACAACGCAGCTTCAAACACTACGTAGTAAAAAACAGGAGAAAAAAAAATCTGAATTCAGTCTCGCATGAAATCACTCGTTCGTCAAATAGGCAGTACTGTTTCTTGCAAACTAATTGAAAAAACTCAAAATTGTACTTTTTACCATGCTTGCAAAGCAATTCCTTTTTTATTCATCCCAAAAAATTATTTTATTTGTCGAAAATCTGTAAAATCAATATTTAAGACAGGCTGCTCTCAAAATTTTCTTGGATTTTTCAGTCCGTGCAATAAAGTGAGTGCAATTCCAACATTCATGAAATGAATGTTGGATCTTAAATTGTTTGAAGTGTTATACTAGATTGTTGAAATTAAATCAATGTTCCTGAATTTACTTTTTAACAGGGAATGCTTTCCCATTTCCTAAAATTTACATTGTATCATTGTCATTTTACATGTTTATATTTTATTTTTGTGTTTTGCATACCTTCTCCAAGATGTAATTGTACACATTTTGTAGCCCACCCGGATCGCTGGTTTTTGTCGTTGTATTATTGCAACGAATTCTAAAAAATAATAATAATTTGATTATTAATAACTCCACCCATGAGTTCTTTTTTAACCAACCCTAACCAACCATTTTTAGAGCATAATCGAAGTGGCCAACGAATGAAGCTAAATGCCTATTATTTAGTTAGTTGGTGTGGGAAAGTAAATCTCTTTGTGTGCGATTTGGTAAGAAACTGTGAGAAAACGTTTGCTATCCAACACCTATTATTAATTAAATGGACTGCATTTTGCAATTTGGACCTATAAATTCCGGCCCGGTTTAAAAACAACGTATGTGCCATTAGTTTCCCTATGCACATAAGTGTTTTTTCAGATGAGCCAGAATTTTTAGGTCCAAATTGCAAAATGCAGTCCAAATGTCTTCACTCTTTTTGAGTAAAGTAGCCATCCCGATGTCATCATCTGTCTATTCATTTCATCAGCCCTTTTTTTGACGAATAATTCTGCAGTTGTCGGAAGCTAATGTTTTCGTGCCAGAAATATGAAATCCATCAATAGTATGCCAAAAGTTACCTCCAAATTTATGTTTCGCACCAAGTTCGATTTTCGAGAAATTTTGTCCACTATTTTGAGTCCTCCAGAAGGAATATTTTATGTTTGATGAAAAGCAAGTGAGACCATGAGGCTGTTTAAGTATCACGCAAGGTATTTTAATCCATACTTTTTTACACTCCTCCTCCAATCACGTGAGACATTTGTGAGACAGCCTCTTAAACCACCCGCTAGTTATGTAAGATCGGTTCTAGCCTGCTCCTTAAATCTTTCAGAAAGTCGCAAAGAAAACCTGAAATATAGATTTAAAAATTCACTTTATCAGAGAATATCCTATCTAAGTTTTTTTCTTCTAAGTGGAAACCTTAAGCACAACTGGGCTTGACCTCCCCCCCCCCCCCCAGAAGANCCCCGTGAGGCAATAGCCGAGACCTCCTCTTCCCTTTTGTAGCTTACTTAATACTTGAATGACTGCAAGTGTTCAAACTTTTGCGGTGTGAACTAATTGGACGTATTTCTGTCAAACGGAACTATGTGCATTAAGACATGAGCCCTGAGACCCATAAGAATACATGCATAACAGGGCTCACGTCATGATGCACATAGCTCCGTTTGACAGAAATACGTCCAATTGTAAATTGTTATGCGCTCTAATGCCGCGTCCTTAAGAAGGAGACACTCTTAAACGAAAAAAGAAAAAAAAGAAAAACTTATTTTTCATCTCATACTGGTTATTTATTGAATATGGACCATAGTAAGAGCACATACCGAGACCCAAGAGACAAACCGGTCAAGAACATTTTCTTGTCCGAGCTCCGTGCGGTCAATGACCGGTTTCAGTTTGATCGGAGAACTTTCGATTTTGACCCCGAAATTTTACTTCATGGTACCCGTGTCGATTTTTCTCGATTTCGGAGGAGAAAAAAAATTTCACCGCACGCCAGAAAGTCCAAAGAGAATTTCAAAGCGTAGCAAACCAAAATAGATTTTAGAGTCAGATAGCAAGAAACAGTCAAACTAGTCAAACAAGGTGCACTAGCGCTACCTGGTGGAGAGACGATGCAAACTCGCTCCGCGATCATTGACCGCGCGGAGCTCGGACACGGAATTGTTTTTGACCGTTTTGTCTTTTGGGTCTCAGGATTTTCTCTTGCCATCGTCCATATTCAATAAATAGCCAGGCAGAGATGAAAAATAAGTCTTCATTTGTTTCCCTGACTGGTTATTTATTGAATATGGACGATGGCAAGAGAAAATCCCGAGACAAAACGGTCAAAAACAATTCCGTGTCCGAGTTCCGCGCGGTCAATGACCGCGGAGTGAGTTTGCATCGTCTCTCCACCAGGTAGCGCTAGTGCACCATGTTTGATAAGTTTGACTGTTTGTTGATATTTGACTCTAAAATCTATTTTGGTTTGCCACGCTTTGAAATTCTCTTCGGAATTTCTGCCGTGCATGGTGATTTCCTACTTGTTTTGCTTTACTTTTACAATCCTGAACACTTATTATTACTATAAACATCGTGCCTTGTTGAAATAAAGTGTAAGTTAAACAAATGGCGCATAACATCTTGGCTTGCAGTTGACTGGGAGTCATTCATTTTGGGATTATCATGATGGAAGGTTTCTCATTTTGTTGATATTTATATTGATCCTTAGATTTGGACTACATTGTGCAATTTGGAACTATAAATTCTAGCCCTGTTTAAAAACAACGTATGTGCCATTACTTTCCCTATGCATATAAGTGTTTTTCTAAAAGAGCCAGAATTTATAGTTCCAAATTGCAAAATGCAGTCCATTTAATGAGCTCGGTACGAGTTCTATGAACACACTTTAATCATGCACGCATGTGAAGAGCTAAATGTTTTGAGTCGCATCAAAGAATCACTATATGATATTACCTAACTCTCGAATAGTCCTAAGGTCCACAATGTATGCCTATTGTATGATGTGGCAGTGCTCAGAGCCGGATTTAAGGGCAGGCCACATGAGCCGCGGCCCACGGCGGTAAAAATGACAAAAGAAAAGGCGACAAATTCTCTCATTTCCTGAGCAGGCCCGCCACAAAGGGGGGGGGGGGGATACTGGGTCCCTGGTACNGGCCCCGGAGGGGGCCCGTGTTACCCGTGAAAAACCACTACGAATTCACATGCAACCCTTGTTTCGTAAGAAAAAGTGAAAAATTTACCCTAAAAATTTCGCAAAAGGTGAATACATTTTCAGAAACACTCTGGGGCACTGTAGAATTCTTCTTAAATTTTCAAAGAAGTAAACTTCCTGGAAAATTTCTATCTATTTTCAAGATTTTCAGTACAGAGGGATATTTTTAGTAACTGCGTTTCATTTTCTTCCGTCGTCAGATGCTAAGAGTCTCCAGTCTGGGCATCCTCGACTTTAATGGCTCATGGCTCAACTCCCTTGCCATAGACAAACGAAGGGGGAGTCCAGGGGGGCCTGGCCCTCTTAGAACTGAAAATAGTATCATATGCCCCCCCCCC